CTCGCTGTTGGCTGGGGAATGACTCGGAGCTGCAGAGGCTGCAGGCAGCCTCGCAGCCCAGCACTCAACTGCTGCACCACCAGGGGAGGCCCCTAGGCTATTAAACTTTCTAAAGTATTATATATAAATTATCAAACATGATTCTTGAGAATAGAATGATTGGGAGTGGAGAGAGGAAAACATATTGTTTAATCTATATTTTAATTCATTGTAACGTCTCTTTGTTTTGTTTTCTCAAATTTTATACCTATGTGGTTTGAGGCATTATAACTATTCTTAACCCATAGTCTTATCAATGTTCAAAGTGACTCAAAGATATTACCAGTTTAGGGTTTGCAGTTTCTACAGGTGAGACTAGGCACATTGGAAATAATGACCCATACCCATTGAGAGAGCCCTTCTATGGCCTCTCAGATGGAAAAAATGGTAGGTTGTTTCTTTCTTTTTTTTTTTTTTTTTAAGATTTATTTATTTATACAAGCACTGGGTACAGTCAGAAGCGCAGGAGGGTGAGAGAATTCACCAGAGCCAGAGCGGGGAGCAGAGCAGGCAGAAGGACCGAAGTACACTGCTGAGGGGAGCAGCGGGCGGTAGGAGAGGTCTGCGCGCCATGTGGGACCCTCCTCCGGTGACCGGGGAGCAGCCAGGGATCGAACCGGTGCTGCAGAGGCTGCAGGCAGCTTCGCAACCCAGCGCTCAACCGCTGTGCCACCAGGGAGGCCCCGGTTGTTTCTTTCTTAATGAGTAGAGACTCAGATTAATATGGAATTACCTTAGTGCTCTAAATTTTTGGGTAAGAAATTTCCTAGTTTCTTGTTTCTAGTCTTCCACTGGTATTTCCAAAAATAGAAAAAGGACTCATAAATCAACAAGACTTATAATCTTATTATTTTTACCTCACAGGTCTGCAGATTTATCTCAAATATGACAAAGCTATATATGCTTCTTCTTGAGTCATTAGGTTTGTATTGCTAGTTGGTTGGTGGTTGGTTTGCTCACTTTTCCAAGGTTGATTACCCATTTTCCTTTTGGAGGTTTGACCTTTTCATTATAAGTCCTTTTTGATAATACATGATACTGACTACTAACCAGTTGTAGTTTCTTGATCAAAACAGTTTGGCAAGAGTTCCTCTTGGCTCTGCTAAAAAGTTTTTTTTTCCTCCATAATTGAACACATACAGAAGAGTGGAAGACTTTGACTTCCTCAGTTGTGAATTGTTGATTCAGAATGGATTGCTGGGCTCCTTGAGCACTGAACACTAATAGGTATTATATTTTTTTTTTTTTTTTTAAAGATTTATTTATTTATTTATACAAGCACTGGGTACAGTCAGAAGCGCGGGAGGATGAGAAAATTCACCAGAGCCAGAGCGGAGAGCAGAACAGGCAGGACTGAGGTACACTGCTGAGGGGAGCAGCGGGCGGCAGGAGAGGTCTGCGCGCCATGTGGGACCCTCCTCCGGTGGCCGGGGAGCAGCCGGGGATCGAACCGGCACTGCAGAGGCTGCGGGCAGCCTCGCAGCCCAGCGCTCAACCACTGCGCCACCAGGGAGGCCCAATAGGTATTATATTCTTAAGACAAGAATTTTATCTTAAATGTTTTAATGTCCATATCATTTGTCCTGGCCCTCCTGCTGAAGGTGGGTTAAGTATTGGCTGCTCCCCCAATCTGTTGCTGCCTACAAATTACCTGAAGTCACTTCCTCTAGGAAATTGGTGGGGGCTTGGGTGTACTGCCTTATTTTTCCTATGATCTAAATCAGGGAGGAGATGACCTGCCTGCTTATAATACTTTAAAAAAAAATAAAGATTGATTGATTGATTTAGACAAGAACTGGGGTACAGGCCAGAGGTGCGGGGTGGTGGGGGAGGTGGAGGTGAGAGGATGCACCAGAAACAGAGTGGGAAGCAGAACAGGCAGACTAACTGAAATACACTGTTGAAGGGAGCAGTGGGCCAGTCAGGAGAGGTCTGCTGGCCAGGGATTAAATTCGTGCTGCAGAGGCTGTGGATAGCTTCACAGTCCTGTGCTTGCACCACCAGGGAGGCCCTGATAATACTTTTTAGCATGAATTCTAGGCACGCCACTTCTGTGCTGCTTTTGCTCAGAGAACCTTTGGAACCTGACTTCCCTAAGGATCTTCCCTGGTGTCCTTTACTGGGTGAAGTGCATTGTTGCATAAGTTAATATCTCAGAATTCTTTCAGGTTTATAATGAATTATTATTTTTTTTTTAAATAGAGGCATGCTTTATTTATTTATTTGTTTGTTTGTTTGTTTGTTTGTTTGTTTTGTTTATGCAAGCACTGGGTACAGTCAGTAGTGCGGGAGGGTGAGAGAATTCACCAGAGCCAGAGCGGGGAGCAGAGCAGGCAGAGGGACCGAAGTACACTGCTGAGGGGAGCAGCGGGCGGCAGGAGAGGTCTGCACGCCATGTGGGACCCTCCTCCGGTGGTAGGGGAGCAGCCGGGGATCGAACCGGCGCCGCAGAGGCCGCGGGCAGCTTCGCAACCCAGCGTTCAACCGCTGCGCCACCGGGGAGGCCCTATAATGAATTATTAAGGGAAAGAATCACTGTGTCTATAATATACTATCAATATAATATGGGCAGTTCTTACATTCCCATTTGTGATGTGGGAATCACAGTAGTGCCTCCTGCAGAAGGCTGGTGGGAGGTGTGTACAGCTGAGACATGTGTGCTTACTGTCTTGTATATATTGATATATTGGTGGCTGTTGGCACTAAAAGAATAGATTCATACCACTTGCCTGTTCCTTTTATAAAGTGCTACATGCACCCTTCACATTTTCTTTTCTCCCCAGAATCTCCTCCTCTAGGATATTCTGAGTTACTCATCAGTGGACTTGTGGACTTAGACTGCTGTACATGGCTAGGACTCCTCTGTGTTTTTTTGGGTAGGGAGTGCCTTTACTGAGACCTTTAATAAAATTTTCAGTTTCAACAGAGGGCTGTGTTGTTTTCTACTAACTGCACCTGGTGTGCTAATTCTGAAGGTTTGTTGCTGCTATTGGTAATATTGAGATCAAGGAATCACCAGGTATAGTGTTAAAATTCTGTTTCTTCAGGAAGGTTCTAAAATTCCACAGATTAAAAATGAAATGATCAGTTTGTATTGAGTGTGCTTAATATATATATTGAATTCTGTGTTGAGTTAAATTCTGGATTATGTGGATTGGTGAGAGGCAACCTGACTCCAGTTCTTTAAAACTATCTATGAAAGTGACTGCTGTACATGGCTAGGACTCCTCTGTGTTTTCCGGGTGGGGAGTGCCTATGCTGAGACCTGGTAGACACTGCGTGGTGGAACATTTAGAAACCAGGACAGAAAGCAGTTGGGTGTAAGGCTGAGTAGGCCTAATTGAGTAAGAAATGACAGAAAAAGTTCCAACAAGGAACTCATCCAAAAATAGTGTCACTATCAAAAAAAAAAAAAAAAAAAAAGTGTCACTATCATGTTTTTTAAAAAATATTTGTAATCAAAAGCTACATTCAAGCAGTTCTTAAGTATAAACTAAATGTTTTATTTATTTTCACTTTGTGATAGTGTTCTATTGTGGACAAATAGTTTTGATGCAGTTAGAAGAAATGTCAGCTATATAATTCAAGAGTCCAGGACCTAAAGTCTGTGGGCCTCAGTAAGAAAATATAGCAGTGTACTTTGGCAGATGTTTCTTACCTTGCAGGGAAGGTAACTGAAGTCTCAGCCCTTACTGAAGTTCTTATTTTCTCCAGATGTACCTGGGTTATAGAACAGAAAGAAACTGCACAGTCTTTGATACTAATTCTGAATTAGGAATGACTTGAGTTCTAAGAACAGGGCTCATGTATTGGTCACTATATATTTTCTCCCCTGCAATTGTATCAGTGTAGCAGGTATGCTGTACCTTACAGGTCCTTGGTAGCTCCTATTGAAAGACTAACTCCACTGAACAGAGTACCGAATCCAGTGTATGATCTCTTCACTCCTAACCACAAGTGCTCTCCTCTTTTCTCCTTGATACAGTAGCACCCTCTTGCTGTGTGGTATTATCTGGGGAAGCCTTATGTAGGCCTCTAGACATATTGAGTGACATACCAGTCTTGACACTCAGGATATTCTGTTTTGTAAGTAGCTTACCTTCCTCCACCCCCATTAACAAAATGCCTCGAATATAACATATACATGCTATCTTGTGATTATCTTCTTTAACCTAACTTGAAATGTGAGCATCTTTCTTTTTCATTGAATTTACTTCTGCAACATCCTTTTCACTGGCTGCATAGTCGTCCATTTCATGGATCTGCCATGCATTATTTATCTAGTTCCTTTCTCTTGGACAATTATTTCTAATTTTTTGCTCTTGTAAATAACACTGTAGTGCACATATCTTTGAACATTACTGAAGAATTTACAAAAGTAGAATTGCTAACTTAAAGCACCTATTAAGGCTCTTTGATAACCATAACCAATTTGCCTTAAATGTCCCCTAAGAGAATATAAGGGCCAGAAAGATTGCCCACAGATTTTTTAATTATTCTTGCAGTAAAAAAAAAAAGGAGGGAGTTGGGGGAGTCTTGTTTGCAGGGTTTATATAGGAGAATACAAGATTGGACATTTTCTGCAAGTAACAGGTCTAATTAGAGGTGACTTCCCAAGTGTGTTGTCCGACAGCAGCTTGAGAGGTCATGTAGCCTATTCAGGAATCCATAGCTCTTTTGCTTAGTTTAGGCATTGGGTTATTTTCTGTGGATGGGGTGGTTTCAAATCAAACCAATTTATTGGAAGGGTTGTTGAGGAAAACAAAGAGAAAAATCAAGAGATCCATGAAACCCCTGATATTGTAAGAGGAACTTAAAAGAACAAAAAGTAGAACCATGGAAAAGAATTTGGAAATCAAGCCTGGGCCTGGTATAGACACAACTGTATACATTTCTCAAAATGTGGAGTACTCTGTAAGAAACTACAGTTATATATATATTTTTTTCTTTCTCCTTTCTAGGTATCTCATTCAGTTGCTAAACTTATATTAGTTAATTTCCACTGGCAAGTCACAGAGATATTGGACAGGTAAGGTGTTTGGGGGAGGAGAGAAGGCATCTCCCATACATAGCTCCTCTCTGCCCACCACCAGTGATGGAATCTGTCCTTACAATATGTATATTGTGTTTTTAAAACACTGGGTCATGTTGTTTATCCTTTTCCCCTCTCAATATATTGGGAACATTTCCTCATGTTTTCAACATTATACCCCATTTTTAATGCTGGCAAGTATTCCTTCACATAGATATTCTATACTTTTCCCAAACTCCTAATGTTGAACAGGGCATTTAGTGACAATTTGTGTGCCATTGTTAATTTTTAGCTAGTGCCTTTCTAAATAACTCTTGCCATCGTCTCTAGTTATTTCTTTTGTCTACATGAAGTGAGGAATGAAGCATAACATACATATTACCTTCAGAAAAGGTTTGCCAGTTTACTACCCACTTCCAGTACCAGAGCTCTCACCCCTCTGCAAGTCTGGCCTACACCCTAGTTCTTCTACGCAAAAATAAATAAAATCTTTAAAAAAAAAAATGCTAGTGTGAAAACTAGGAATAAAAAATAATTGAAGAAGGCATCCTGACTAGGTAAAATAAGGAAATCTTGTATATGAAGACACAATTGTTCCCTGCTCAGATTCTTGGTATCCCGGTAATGTATTTACCTGGGCTTTAGGTAACACTTGTATTGCCACATGATAATTGTTTTCGTTTAACTGATGTATTGTTGGTTTACATGTGTTTTTTTAAATGAGCTTTTTAAAAAAGATTTTATTTTATTTATTTATGCATGCAAGAACTGGCATGTGGGCTAGAGGTGCAGAGGGGTGAGAGGATTCACCGAAACAGAGTGGGAAGCAGAACAGGCAGATCTACTGAAATACACTGCTTTGAGGGGAGCAGCGGGCAAGACAAGAGAGGTTTGCTTTGCTATATGGGTTAGCTCCCTGGCCGGGGTTCAAAAACTCATGCTGCAGTGGCTGGCGATCGCTTGATAGTACTGAGACTTTTACCCCTGCACCACCAGGGAGGCCTCAATTTGCATATTTTTATTTTTAAATTTATTTATGTCATACACCTTTCTGGAAAAGGATTAAATTTTTATTATAAAATACTTCCTTTTTAAAAGTAAGTGTGAAACAACTATGAACCAGAGACACACTTTGGGGTGGAGAGGGAGGGATTGGGGTCAAAATCGGGGGGGGGGGTTGCAATTGTATGGGGAATATAAAAAAAAAGTAAGTGTGAGGGCCTCCTCAGTGGCGCAGCGTATTGAGCGCAGCGCTATGAAGCTGTCCACAGCCTCTGCAGCGTGGGTTCGATTTCCGGCCAGCCAGGGAGATTCCCACATGTCACGGCAGACCTCTCCTGTTGTGCCTGCTGCTCCCCTTAGCAGTGCTTTCCGTCTGTCTGCCTCTTCTGCTCCCCACTCTGGTGAATCCTCTCACCTCTGGCACCTCTGGCCTGTACCCCTGCTCTTGTATAAATAAAAAATAAATCTTAAAAAAAAAAGAAAGTGAGGTGGGGGGAAACACAAAGGTTTTTTGTTGTTTTTTTTTTTAAAGATTTATTTATACAAGCACTGGGTACAGTCAGAAGCGCAGGAGGGTGAGAGAATTCACCAGAGCCAGAGCTGGGAGCAGAGCAGGCAGAAGGACCAAAGTACACTGCTGAGGGGAGCAGTGGGCAGCAGGAGAGGTCTGCACGCCATGTGGGACCCTCCTCCAGTGGCCAGGGAGCAGCCGGGAATCGAACCGGAGCTGCAGAGGCTGCGGGCAGCTTCGCAACCCAGCGCTCCACCGCTGCGCCACCGGGGAGGCCCCAGACAGACATAGGTTTTAAAGAATAAAGAGAATACCCAATTAGGAAACTCTCTGACCTTCATTCAGAGTTCCATGGTCATGGTCTCTGCTTGACCACAATTCCTCCTTACTTTCTAACGGGATTGGTATTGATCATTTTCTTATTTATTCTAACTTATGTATCTTTCAGGTTTGTATGCTTTTAGAATTTTATAGACAGACATGGAATCATACTGTATATGTTTTTCAACTTTTTAAATTAACAAGTTTGCATATTTTGATATCCTATCCTCCTGTTAAAAGCCATTTGTGAGTTTTTAGTTTTTTGCTATTATAATAATGTAGCTCTGAAAACTCTTGTATGTAAAACTCCTAGTGTCACATAATTTTTTTAGGGTTAAGGCTAGAAAATAAATTGCTGGCCTATAACTTTACTAGATAATACCAAAGTGTTTTCGAATATGATTGCACCATACTGCATGCCCACCAGTGATGTTTGAATGTTCCTGACACTGTCAGACTCAAAGTTTTGCATTTTGTTGGTGGGTGTAAATGGTACTTGTCTTTTCATTTCAATGTCCCAGATTGTTAAGGAGGTTGAGCCTCTTTTCATATTTAATGGCCATTTGTGCTTCCTCTTCTGTGACATGCTCGTTAATGTCTTTTGCCCATTTTTAAAGTTACTTTATTTATTCAAATACACTTTCAGGAGTTTTTATTTTCTGTTTATCAGTCCTTTGCCAGTTGGGCCTGTGTTGAATTCACTTCAGTTTATAACTTAGTGACCACTTTATGGTGTCTTCTGATGAACTGAAATTCTTAAATGTAGCATAATTTGTCAGACTTTTCCTTGTCTTAAATCCTTCCCTATTCCTAAGACATAGAGATATGTGATGTCTATATTTTCAAAAAGGGTTTGAAGTAGATATGGTCCTGCATAAGTATTTTTCTTTACAGTTCAGTGCATTTGAAGTAGGGTTTTATTTTCATACCAGTTGAGAACTAAAAAAATTGAAAGGGAACAAAATATTTGTACCAAGGTAAAAGGAAGCCTGGTTCTGTGAGAAGAAAATTAGACACAAAGACACTTCAGTATGACCACAACACATGTTGATCTATCCTATTTTTGTTCAGAGGCAAAAATGTCTTCACTTTCTGATTCCCTTTATTTTGTTTTGTAGATACAAGTCTAATTCTGCACAACTCCTTGTTGAAGCTCAAGTTCAGCCCAATCCATCAAAACATGTAAGTGTCTCCTGCTTGAGCGAAGCTTCTCCTAATGTACCTGATTCTCGTGTGGTTTACAGTGTTACTGAAAGAGATCTTGTTTTGTTTATTATAGTATAATATGCCCAAGGTATTTGTTCAACTGTATAACTAATTTCCATTTCCATTGTAGTTTGAAAAATTACCTCATCAATGAGGAGTAAATCACAGCCAGTGAATCAAGGCTCTCTCCAGCTTTGCCTTCCTCTGTGCTAACAGCCTGCACGCCATTCCTGAAGGGTTCCTTGGTGTTCTCAAGCTGACTTTTTACTGCTTGTGCTTTCCCTGGCCTCTAATTTCCAGAGGCTATCTCTATTTATAGGAATGGAATTCACCTTTATAGACCCAGATGCAAGCTGCCTGTCATAAAACCTGTCTCCTATGATGACTCCTTTCCAAACATCTCTAGTTATATCTTTAATCCTTCACAAATACGTTGCTGTGATTCACTCGTAACTTTTCAATCCCCTATCAGACTATAAGTACCTTAAGAATAGGAACTGTGTCTTACAATGCATGGCAGTTTTCAGTGTACCAAGGAGTTCAACAAATATTTGCTGAATGAACGAGGGTCATGTCAAAAAACTCTCAGGAGGGAGAATTAAGGCTCTGATCACCATATAACGTTTGTAGCCTCTAAGGGGTAAAAGTTTCAGGGACATACTGGATAAATATGAGAACATAGTCTTTTTCCTCAAATTGTTTTTTTGTATTCCTAGGAACTAACAAAAAGCTTGTGTAAACTTGTAGTGGACTTTTCTGTTGGTTTGTAGTTTTGACTGGATTTCTTTGTGAGTTTGTGTACCTTGGAATTCATAATTTAAAGTTACGTGTTCGTATCCTAGAAGAGTTTCTTCCCTAGTAGGACTCTTTCTCAACCTCTAGATCGATTGTATGTCACATCTTTTTGATATGGTAAGGATGAACTTGGTAAAAGCCATATTTTTTGTTTGGGGCATATTGATATGGGAAAACCACTGTCCTTGACAAGTAAAACTGTACTTTGAGCTATTAGAGGCTATTACATGCTCAGCCTGTAAGAACCTTTGTGACTAGGTTTGTAGTACTTTTGAGAGACAACCCTGTGCTGTGCTGAATGGTGGCAATTTACAAAAGAAACTCAGTAGCTATTAAAAGAAGTTGGACTGTATGATTCTGTTGCCAATTCTGAAATCCTGAGCTTTTCAGCCTGACAGTTTTATAAGTCACTGTAAATTCTCATTTCAGCCTTCTCTCTGCCTCTCAGAATCCTAGTGATTCTGTAATCCAGCCCTTCAGGAAGCCTTCCTGATAAATGCTCTGCTTAGAAATCTTAGGACTTGTAGAATCCACGCATTGCAGTGAGTTCTAACACTGTTACAGGGTCAGGATCCTCCCATGCCTGTTATGGCTCTGCCTCTCTCTCCCCAGGTCCCCACAGCCCATCCCCCTCACCATTGTGCAGTGTGTATGCAGTTTGTACGGAAAGAAAACCTACTCTCTTTGGCCTGTCAGCACCAGTTTTGCCGCAGCTGCTGGGAACAGCACTGCTCAGTACTTGTCAAGGACGGCGTGGGTGTTGGTGAGTCTGTTGTAGAATTTGTAAAAAGTTGGCATGAAGTATTTATCTTCATCTCTGTCCTTTTGGGTACTCAGGTCAACTGAGTGTTTTCTTCTGAGCCTGATTGAGTTTTTTATTTTTAGAACCATTGATTTTCCAAACACATCAGTCTGACCAGTGGCAAGGTTTCCCTAGCCTTCAGCAAAATTAGAATATTAAATCCTATTGTTGGAGCATATATATATATATATAAAATAGTGTAAGGGCAAGGCTACTTCTCTTACCTTTTGGGAGAAATGTTCTTTAAACTGCCTACCCTATCTCGTTCTTCAAGTGGCAGCCATAACTCTGAAACACCCAGAGCTTGCTGCTGTTTAGGTAACAGCACAAATCAAATTTGATGATCAGCTACAGGGTATTTATTATACTATGACTTGATAATAATACTAAATCAGCATCCCATTAATTGTATTTGCAAAATTCATTGTGTTGGTGATAATCACTTATATACAATGTCACAAAGCTAAATTGTTAATCAAGAACCCTATAGAATTTTTTAAATGATTTTATTTTTTAGTGGTACTACTTGTGATAAATATATAATTTGGGGTATTGTAGTTGTATCACTGTGAAAATATTAGTTTGTCTTTGAATAAAATGTTCCTTCAGGTGTCCCCATGTGAAATTAATTTGTGATTGAACTCTGGGCAAATAAATTACAGTCTGTCTTCTGGAATACTGATTTCCATTGGGTTGTATTTGTTCAACAGGAGTCTCTTGCATGGCTCAAGACTGCCCACTCCGAACACCAGAGGACTTTGTGTTTCCGTTGCTGCCCAATGAAGAACTGAGAGACAAATACAGGCGCTACCTCTTCAGGGACTATGTGGAGGTATGGCCAGTGTTTATTGTTGTGTCCTCTGTCTTCTTAGGCCTGCTTTCCGTAAGATGCGCACCACAATGACTATAGACTAGACTACCATAGGTGCTGTCATTTGAAGAAAGAGCTCCATGGCTCTAATAAAAATGTTAAATCAGTAGAGTGCTAGTGAAGAACACAGGCGCCCTGGAGTCTGTTGTGTGCATCCCAGGTCTGTTGCTTATCACCATCAACCCCTCTGAGCCTTGGGATTCTTTTATAGAATGGCCAGGCATCCCACCTTACACATAGTTATTTTAGCTATTCTGTGTCAGGGAATGAACACAGATCAGGGGTGGTTACTCCTCGTGGCTCATTGGGTATTTCAGAACAGAGAAGGAATATTGCGTCTGGTGCAATTTGGAAATTTATCCAGGATTCCAGCACAGTCACTTTGGGGGTCTTTGCCTCTATTGGACTAGACCTGGTGGTCTAGTGGATGGGGCTTGCTTATTTCATGCAGCATAGTTTCCATCTTTTATGTCTATGCTTATTAGATTGAGTAATAGTTTGGGTCTTCTCGTGCACATGTGGCAGGATAAACAAAGTGCCTTGTTCCTTATATTGTTTGCTGCCTTTGGTAGATGCCTTATAATTGAGCTCCAGAGTCTTCTGCACAGCTGATTGGAATCTTTCTAAAGTCCCTATGCACTTTTTACCTCAGAGATACAGTTCTGTATTACATTTTGTAATTTAACCATACATCATTCTACTGAGTTGCTACATAGTTTAAGGTAAACATTCAAACGTCCTCTTTAGTATCTGGCTAATGTCCAGTCTTCATGGTATCCATCCTGAATTTCAATAGCTTCTTGATACAAATCATCAATTGAAAGAACAGAAGGCATTTAAGCACTCAGGGAGATCTAATTTGGAGGCAACAATTAGGGGATGTCTTCATTGTTTCCTCTTGATGTGTTCACAGAGTCACTACCAGCTCCAGCTATGCCCTGGTGCAGACTGCCCCATGGTTATCCGGGTACAGGAGCCCAGAGCTCGCCGAGTGCAGTGTAATCGGTGCAATGAGGTCTTCTGGTAAGAGTGAGTGTGGGTGCCGAGCAGTCCTGGGCTCGTGATTTATCCTCCTCCAAAACACCACTGCTGTCACTCTGAGGGTGGGGTTGGGAGCAACAAGGTCTTTGAGCCAGAAGAGCAGTTCTGCTCCAATCAGAGTTTGTACCTAGCACTGCCTGTTCCGTGAGGTGTTTAATAAAGCTTATTCTGGTGACAAGAGTGGCATAGATTCTTAGTATATATGTTATAGTTAATGCTACTAAAACTGGCTCAGAGTTTGTGTCTGGGTGTCCGTCTACCTATACAGATAATTCACATAATCCTATCTTTGAAAATTTGCAACTTCTGGCATTTTAATCTTTGTTTGGCCTTTCTTGGCTAATTCCTTTAAACTATCGTTCATGAAAGTAGTTACATCTACTTGGGTAAACATTTACCCTTGTTTAGGAAATATGACAGGAATAGTTAATATGTACTGAAGTCGTAGCAGGAAAAGGCACTATCTTTTTTACCTTTCTTCCCACAACTGTGCATGATTGCTACTGTTGTTACCCTTATGTTATAGGTGAGGAAATTGAGTACAAGGTAATGACAGAGCCTAATTAGGTTGTCCGCCCTCATCACACCTCCCTAGAAGATTCACGGTGGGGCTTCAGAGAAACAACATGGAAAATATGTGTGCACTTACGCCTGCCTTTCGTGACTTTGTTGGAAAGATCATAGTTGAGCATCACTAATAGAATTGCTACCCATCTTTTGCAATCCACATTGTGAACTTTCCCCCCTGGGCTATGTATTAGACTAACTGCCTGAGAGCCTTTACTATCCACAAAGAGGTGCTGGCTTGGACAAAAGGGAAATCCAAGCCACAGGAGCCTAAACCAGATGAGTGCTGAGGATTGTTTTGCTTATTTTAAGTTTCAAGTGTCATCAGGTCTATCACACCCCTACATGTTTCACAAATTCTGGTGTTTGTGCTTCCTGTGTGCAGATCTGGCTGGGAGGCAAACTTGGGCTCCCAAAAGTAGATCTCAGTCTTGCCTTGGGTCTGAGCCAAAGTATCCTTTTCAGAGCACCTCCCCATGCCCTTTGAGAGACTGGGTTCTGAATTTGAAATCCTTTCAGGGAGGGTTGACAACACATAGGTATTTCAAACAGAAGTAATGAATTTGGGTTTATTAAGAGTATGTCTTAGAAGAGCTTAGATTGAAGAGGAGGTCTCACAGTATTTGAGTGTAATTCTGGGTAAGTAAAGATTCCAAAGGCCTTGAGAGGTGACTACCTCTTTGAACAGCTCTAATTCAGGACTTGTTCACTTGGACAGAAGGAAAATGAAAAACATTAGGACCCTGAGTTAACAATTATTTTGAATGTTTTTCTTTTTTGATTTTAAGTTTCAAGTGTCGTCAGATGTATCACGCCCCCACAGACTGCGCCACAATCCGGAAATGGCTCACGAAGTGTGCAGACGACTCTGAAACAGCCAACTACATTAGTGCTCACACTAAAGACGTAAGGACTATATCTTACCTGTCATGGAAATGCCCGCGTTAGTGCTACCCAGGGCCTGGCCTGGGAGATTTGCCATCTGAGAATAGAACACCCAGAGTCCCAAACCCACTGCTGAGGGCTACAAGCCCTTGCTCTGATTTGGTAGACTTTGAAGTGTTTTCTCACAGTATGCATTGGGCGCATTTATTTTCATAAAATGCTGAAATGTCTGGAAAACTTTGGCCCATAGCAGAACTAATTAGGAGGAAAATAGGTTTTATTAAGTGCTTTCAGGCTTTAATCCCCCTGGGAGGGTAGTGGTTGATAGGGTAGCCACACCTAATAAATTGCAAGGTATAATGCAAGTCCAGGCCTGCCCAATTCTCATTGTGAAACTTTCCAATGGAAAGCATGGTCCACAGTCTGTTGAATTCTGAATGACTCAGTACCCAAGGGTATAATCTGTGCCAGTCATGCACTAAGTTGTTACACTTTCAAGGACAGCTGTGACCATGACATCATTAAACATAGTCCACATGTGGCAAAGGGAGAACATAGCATCACACTTCTGCATTGCTGCCTGGAATTGCCAGCATCTCAAATGAAAGCCAGTGAACTATAGTGATTGTTTCCTTGCCATCCTCTGGAAACTAAAGTCCAGGCAAGATGGCCAGGACTTAGTCCAGTGTGGCAGCTTGTAACTGCCTTGACATTCCTTCCAAGTAGGCAGGCTTTCTGCTGACTCAGCGTGTGTTTAATCTGAGTAGCCTCCTGGCAGGGACAGATGGTGGAAGACTTAGTGCGGCTCAGCTGGTGGTTGGAGTGTTTCAGAACCAAACATGCTGACCTCATTTCCTTGAATTACTGTTCCAGCCTCAGCGACCTGCCACATTTAAGTGAGATGCTCCTCCCCAGAAGTGCTCGCACGATGAGCTGCTGGGCACGGGTGCCAGGAGCTTTGTGTAATTTGTCTTAGAACCGGCCTGATGGTGCGTGAGCCTAACGGCGCCCTTCTGTCTCCTCAGTGTCCCAAGTGCAACATCTGCATTGAGAAGAATGGAGGCTGCAATCACATGGTGAGCAGAGGCCTGTACCCTTTGCATGTGTGACATGGAACCTTTGGTCAGCGTGCTCTTAACATGTTCTCTTCTGTTTCCCTCTGACAGCAATGCTCAAAGTGTAAACACGGTGAGTCCCAGGCTTGGTGCACAGGAGCCAGTGGCACGGTGTGTTTCTTGTGATTGGGTCTCCGTTGCTTGTTTAGTCAGTACTTTTTAGTGAAATGATAAAGCAGAGGAGAGCCTCAGTCACATATAGTCATGATAAGCAGCATAAAGCAACTATTTATTATTTTTTGATTCCTCCCACTGCCATCTTGCTGACACATGTAATCAGAAGTCAAGTTTGGAATGACTCTTAGACCTGATGATCCTCAGTCATCCGAAATGTTAGCTTGTTTTTTAATTTTTGCCAAGGTAGGTAAGTAGCATGGGGCTTATCTATGGTACCTTACATTAATTTTTAGAGCAGCCAGTACATGGTCTTACTGGAGGTTATGAAACAATAGTTTTCCTTTGGAGTTATAGTTTCCAGAGGGGGTTTGTTTTGGCTTCTCAAGACCTCCTTCATCGGTTAGAAATAATTACATAGACAGAACCTATTGGTTTTGCTTTCCTTCCCGCCAAATTAAGTGAAGAAACAAAATTCCTTCAAGTAGAAAGTGTATCCAAATAGGTCTCCTATGTAGCTGCTTAGATGCTGACCAGGAGACCATGAGAGTTTCTCCTGGTAAGGGCCTGTCTAATGCTATTCTTGTGTTTTGCAGGGATTCACTCTAGTCAGAGTGGACATGGCAAGTTCTTAGAGGGGAGCACTCTGAAGTGTAGATAGGTCAAGTGTAGTGGCATATTTCCTCATTTCCACTCTCTCTCTTTCTGTGTATGTGCGAGGGATGGTACTGTTCACTTACACCATCAGGCAGTTTTTTTTTTTTTTTTTTTTAAATAGAGGCATGTTTATTTATTTATTAATTATATTTGTTTGTTTGTTTTGTTTATACATGCACTGGGTACAGTCAGAAGCGCGGGAGGGTGAGAGAATTCACCAGAGCCAGAGCGGGGAGCAGAGCAGGCAGAAGGACCGAAGTACACTGCTGAGGGGAGCAGCGGGTGGCAGGAGAGGTCTGCGCACCATGTGGGACCCTCCTCCGGTGGCCGGGGAGCAGCCGGGGATCGAACCGGCGCCGCAGAGGCCGCGGGCAGCTTCGCAACCCAGCGCTCAACCGCTGCGCCACCGGGGAGGCCCACCATCAGGCAGTTTAAAGAGAAATGACAACGTGAACGTGCCCCAACACCCCAGTGCATTCCTAGTACCTGAGAAGTCCCCTGTGTTCTTCCCCAGTCAGAGTCTCCCTGTCCCTTGCCACTTTTAGAATTAATTGCCATCCCTTGCATTGCTGCATAGTTTTACCACCTACATGGACAGCCCTGAGCAGGGACTTCTTATTTAAAACAATGGTAAGCATAGTGTGGTTGACTCAGGAGAGCGCAGTATTGCCGTTATTCAGTGAAGTTTCCCACAAGAAGAGAAGTAAATGACTGCGTTGGGTCTCTGGGTTTGGCTTTAGCTTCCTTGAGTTCTGCATGGGCCCCTTTTGGGAAGTCAGCCAAGTTATGAGAATAAATTTTGGAAAGTAATGTTTACCACTGTTGGGGTCTCTAGCAGAGACAGAGTATTGCTGTACCAGTACTGGCTCTCTCTCCTTTCAACCACAGTAGTTGTTTGGATATATGGCATCCTCAGGGGATCTTTATATTTCCCTCTTTGCTTTCTCAGTGTGGAATTAGAGTCATAATTCTGAGTATGAGCTACATGCTGTATGAGTATAAAGCTGTAGATTTTTTAGAAATATACTCTTTTTTTTTTAAACATGATAAACAACTATGTTGTATTTTATTTTATTTTTTTAAGATTTATTTATTTATTTATTTATACAAGCACTGGGTACAGTCAGAAGCGCGAGAGGGTGAGAGAATTCACCAGAGCCAGAGTGGGGAGCAGAACAGGCAGAAGGACCGAAGTACACTGCTGAGGGGAGCAGCGGGCAGCAGGAGAGATCTGCGCGCCATGTGGGACCCTCACCCAATGGCCGGGGACCGAACCGGCGCTGCAGAGGCTGCGGGCAGCTTCGCAACCCAGCGCTCAACCGCTGCACCACCAGGGAGGCCCTAGAAATATACTCTTTAAAAAAAGAAGAAAAAGGGGTAAAGCCATTAATCCCAGATTTATGCACAACAATCTTCCTAGGCCAGATGTTGTGAAGGTTGGGGATTGTCAGGAAAGCAAATGTGTTTTCTGAATGACCAGATGGGTTACAGTTGGACAAGTTCCTGCTTGTCACAGTGGCACTGCCCCAGCAGGCCAGTATCTGTTAAATTAAAAAGGTACAACAATAGGTACAAAATGTCCGTGAGAATATCTGTAGACTGAGAACACGAGATTAACAAGGATAGTTACAGGGACAGCAGAATGTAGCAGGGAGGTGAGGTGCACAGCACACTCCCTCTGAAAAGAAGCAGCCTTGGGAAGTTCTGCTCAGGTGACTCCCCAACCCCCGCCCAACTCCTGGAGCAGGATCTGTCTGTCCACTGCTTTGCCGGTGCCTATGCCTTTGCCTATTGTGCGCTTGTCTTGTGGATATCAATGACTTTCTTTTCTGTGCAGACTTCTGCTGGATGTGTCTAGGAGATTGGAAGACTCATGGCAGTGAGTACTATGAGTGCAGTCGGTACAAAGAGAATCCCGACATTGTCAACCAGAGCCAGCAAGCCCAAGCCAGGGAAGCCCTAAAGAAGTACTTATTCTACTTTGAGAGGGTAAGTGTCCTCTCCTGCAATCCTTCTTAAGGGTGAGTTTCTTCCACTTGGCCTACTGGATTGTAATTGCCAGTGACTGGTAGCCAGAGCCAGTGCATATATACAGAAGTCAAGGAATAGGGCTTCTGCAATGGCCATGGGTGCTGCCTCTATAGATAGGACTTTTGGCCTCCATCGGGAGCCAGAGGCAACAAGAAAGGGTGAGGCACTGATCTTGTTTGAACAGTGGAGTAAAGGACCATCACAGTCTTTTCTATCAAATATCATCTTAATATAGTCATGCCTTGCAGCAACATAAAGACTGCCAACAGAGGACTCTCTTATATAGTAGTGTGCCCAAAATTCCTATTGCCCAGTGATGTCATAGTGTTTTATGAAGGCAGCAGCCACATGCATCATGTGTTTGCTCTGCTCCTGATAGCATCATTTTTCCCTTGTGCTTGATTTAATTTTGTTTTCCCTATGCATATAAAATTGACTGATAAATGTTGTATTCACAAGAGGATGAAATCCCCTGACGCATTTCTCAGAACATATCCCCTTCATTTTTTTTAAAGATTTATTTTATTTATTTATGCAAACAAGAACTGGGGTCCAGGCCAGAGTTGTGGGGAGGTGAGAGGATTCACCAGAGACAGAGTGGGGAGCAGAACAGATTGATCTACTGAAATACACTGCTGAGGGGAGCAGTGGGCAAGACAGGAGAGGTCTGCTATGCCATGTAGGTTAGCTCCTGGCTGGGGATTGAACTCATGCCACAGTGGCTGGTGATAACTTGATAGAACTGAGACTTTAACCTCTGTGCCACCAGGGAGACCCACAGATCCCCATTGTTAAGTGATGCCTGACTATTGTCAGGTTTAGAGTTTATTTCTTCCCAGGGACCCTTTTAGAAACTCACAGAGCATGGCACATTTTCTGAGAATAGTACATCAATGTGTATGTATCTTTGCTTAGTCCTCAGGACTAGTGCCCTTTTGCCTTGAAGGGATAGAATTATCTGGCAGGCAGGGACCTCCCTGATATCCTAGGGGTAAAGCTCAGTGCTACCACTGAGAAGGCCCACCAGGATAGCCCAAGGGACAGCCTGAGTTTGTTCCCTGGCCAGGGAGCTAACCCACATGGTGCAGCAGACCTCTTCTGTTTTTTGCCCATTGCTCCCCTCAGCAGTGTATTTCAGTTGATCTGCCTGTTCTGCTCCCTACACTCTCTGGTAAATTCTCTCACCCCTGCACCTCTGGCCTATACCCCAGTTCTTCTACGCAGAAATAAATAAAACCTTAAAAAAAAAATAATCTGGCAGGCAGAAAGCTCTTCAGCACAGGGCTAAAGGTGTAGAATGAAGTCCCCCTTCTGCACTCTCCAGGACACACAGTCCCCATTAAGTTATATGAGGCTGTGCCCATTCCCTGCCTGCCAGGATATTTATTCAGCACTCCTGTGTGCACCTCTGTACCTTCTTGGGATTCCTGCAGCTTTCTCTTTCCTCTGTGCCCTGTAGTGGGAAAACCACAACAAGAGCTTGCAGCTGGAGGCACAGACATACCAGCGGATTCATGAGAAAATTCAGGAGAGGGTCATGAATAATCTGGGGACGTGGATCGACTGGCAGTACCTACAGAATGCTGCCAAGCTCTTGGCCAAGGTCTGTAACCACCTCACTGTTCTGAGCCGCGGTCCAGTGCCTGGCCCTGTCAGGTCTCTGAGGGTGGGAGGCACTATAGAGGGTAAGGGGATTCAGCACCCTGTGCAGCCCTGCATGCTTCTGCTTATTGTTCCACAATTCCCTGGACTGTCTTCTGTGGGCACAGTCATCTTGTGGGTGTCCAGGGGATTTCCAGGAAGAATGTTCCATTGTCTCTCCCTGCAGGGGAAGGAACTACAGGGAAAACTAGAGCCCTTTTTTTCTTTTGTCCCATCCATGCATCACTCAAAGGAAAATAAGAGATTGTCTTTGGACAAGTATTGAGATAGATGTGTGGACTCTGATGTCCGACTCAAGAGGGAAGAGCCATTGAGGCAGCTGCTGGTAATAAATCAAAGTTTGAAAAAGGAACTGTGGGTTTTCTGTGGCCATTTTTGTTTCTGTTTTCCCCATGTTGTCCCCCAATTCATTCTTTCTTTGGCTTGGCCTCATTTCTTTCAGGCCCATATCTGTAGAACCAGGCTAATTTGCATGGTGGGGTAAGAATTGTAGAAGCCACCAAGATATCTGGCATACATTAATGTCACAAAGGTCCCTTTTTTCCTCCTATTTCAGTGTCGATACACCCTGCAGTACACCTACCCATATGCATACTACATGGAGTCTGGACCCAGGAAGAAGCTGGTAAGGCAAAGCTATTCTCTACTCTGCCCTCTTAGCTTCAGTGGTGCCCTTGTCTACAGAACTTTGCAGGAGAGCAGGTATCAGACCCTGATTGTGGAGAGCACAAAAATCAGAATAAAGCTGTCAGTTGTAACGTTTCATTTCTCCTTTAGGCATCTCTAAAATAGATGATATTGGCATTTTGTTTAATAGTCAAGCAGGTATTAAAGTTCCTAAACAAATGCATTTATAGGGCGACTGCTGCAAAGGTCTGTAGCCATCAGAAGGCCAGCACCCATGTTTTGGGAGGATGTCCATGCATGATCCTAAATTATAGAGAGTTGATTTTTTTCACATCAGTTTATTGTTGGAGCTGTCATTTACTAGACTGGTAAATACCATTTTTTAACAGTTGCATAGATGTTCCTTTATATAATCGTACCATCGTTGAGGATATTGTTTCTAATTTTAACTATTATTACAATAAGACGTTTAGGAACATCTTTGTGTATAAAGCATAAATACACAGAGTATTAAGTTGAATGATTTGTGTATTTTAGGGCTCTTGATTGTAGAAGTGCTAAAACACCAGAAATGTTTGCTTCTGAACACTTGAAGTTCTTTGAAGATGCCTTTGTTTTTGCAGCCTCTGTTCCCTGCATGTTGGGAGCATTCTAATCAGTGGCTGTTCTTGGGAGTGGAAGTGGATTTGACCTTGTCATTTGACTGTACTCTTTGGGTAGCCTTTTAAATGGATACTGGCTCTGGGCATAGAGGCTAGCACTGTGCTCTGAGGACAGTTAAGGGTTGTCTGTGGCTCATGCGAGCCTGAGGTGCTGCGTCTGCCCCTCCATCTGCAGGCCCTGCCCCGGCTGCAGCCCCCTCTCCTTTTGACCCTCCTGCTCTACCCATACAGTTTGAATACCAGCAGGCTCAGCTGGAGGCTGAGATTGAGAACCTGTCATGGAAGGTGGAGCGTGCAGACAGCTATGACAGAGGGGTAAGTGCCTGCTACCCTCTTGGACCCTCTAATGCAGGTGAGGGAGAGCTCACATGCTAGGAGGCATGTGGTTTGTTGGCATGTGGACTGGAAACTGCTGCTGAGAAGGGTGGGGAGGGTAGTGCTTTTGGTGCCTCAAAGCTCGTGATGTGGTGGGCATGGCTTTGGCTGTTCCCTGTTGTGGTACTTGGCCATGCAAGCAGCCATCTTGCTTCCCTGGTACAGGACTTAGAGAACCAGATGCACATAGCAGAACAGCGGAGGAGAACCCTGTTGAAGGATTTCCATGACACCTAGATTAAATCAAGAATGTACCGGAGTGAGGAAGATGTGGCTGCGAGGTCTCCCGACTGCCATACTGCATGCTGCAGGCTCTGCCTTTCACGACCCAGGCAACGGCCAGGGCCCCACTCCTGAGAGACACTGGCCACACACCTCTTAGTTGATTTCTGTTTTCTTCTCATCTTTTTGCTTTTTGTTTCTACCAGGGTAGAGGCCATGTTGAATTGGCATCTTTTCAGGACTTTATTCCCCCTGGATGGTTGGGAGGGAGGGAAAGATTTTCTGAATGACTATTAATAGCATTAGATCATTACAACTTATATAATTTTCAATGGTTGTACAATTATACAAAAACATGGCAAACAAACCATAGAATTACACAGAACCCTTTTTAAAAATAAATTGGCATTGGAGTGTTTTACCCTCTAGCTATTTTACTTAGAACGTAACATATGCCACCCACCTTCCCTGCCTCAGGATGTCTACTGCAAGAGGGCCCCAGCGTGGTCTCTGGTTTCCAGAGTCTCATGTGTTTGGCCACAGCAGGAGTCCCACAGGAAGAGCATGGGTGGCAGATGGCGGGGAATTGAGGTCGCCTATGTAACAGGCATGGCGCCTAGGGAATCGCATCATACTTCCTGCCTGGTCTTTGTAGATGCTTGTGGTCGGGTAGACCCGCCATGCACTGGCAGTCGAGGAGACAGTACAGTGAGCCACAGGACAGGGTCTTGCCTTGACGTGTCGTCGTCCCTGGTGGCATGTGTATTTGTGGGCTCATGTTCATTCTGGAAAGTGAGGTTTACCTGGGTGTCTGGCTCCACAGCATAGCATAGGGGAGCTTGTGGCCCTCCAGACCAGAGGACATGAGTTCAACAGTGTTTCCTTTTGTTTCCTAAGGATAGAGATCCTCTTTTAAAGGGAATTGTTCCTCAAAATAAATTTGTTTTATCTTGGTCCCTTCTTTCATGCCAGTGGTGTAACCCTGACCGGGGTCCCATGTGGCCACAGCTGATATTGTCCTGCTCTGTCCTCTGGTGAACTTCAGGGGCAGAGTCCAGCATGGCCCTCCTGAGGGCACTGGTCTTCCTGGCTCAGGGTCCAGGTTTGCACAAGTTGTTTTCCTGTTTCCTGGAATGTATCCAGTGACTGCTGTGGGGGTGGGGTACTCTGCCCACTTTCCTGGTCCGGGCAATTGGAGGACACCACCCTTCGGGTCTGGGAATTTGAGGTCAGGAGGGTGCTTGGTTTGTGCTCTCAACCCCTATACTGGCCAGGGAAGAGGGCCGGTTTTTGCACAAAGGAATGCAAAGGAGCAAGTGTTTTGAGTGTCTACTGCTGTCCTGAACCTAGTCCTGTGGGCCTTTGAAAAGCTACATCTGTGATTCCTGGGGTTTCTCTGGCTTTTGTTCAGTGCCTCCACTCTGAGGCTGACAGAGCTGTCTGTACTTGACAGGGCCTCCTTGATCTCCCGGAAGAGTTGCTAGGGAGATCTATGAATATTATGTTGAAAATTCTTTGATACTCAAACATTTTCACCTCCAGTCAGCGATTCCCCAGGTACCATGTAAGCTGTAAAACTGAATCACTCTTGAAAACAGAGGACACCTGTGGTCCTTGGGGTCATGAGGCTCATGGTTGGCTGCAGGCTCCCTTTCCCTCCCCATTGGGTTTTATCTCTTCCTGTCATCTCCAGCAAGGGAGGGGTTGTGGGGTGAATTGGGAAAACAGTTAGGATTGTAGCAGATAAGTCTGGAACTGGATAGTGCAGAGCCAGTTGTGAACAAGGAGAGTACTTGCTGCAGGACCTAGGGCTGGAGTGTGACGCTGTGTTGGCACATGGAAGATCCTCGCATCTGAAGCCTTTACCTCTTCTCTCCATCAAGTCATTTTTGTGTCACTGCCATGACACAGGACCTGAGTTGCAGCCCTGCACTTTAAGTCACACCCTGGGCATCGTTGGGCCTTTTTTGGACTTTACACTTACTACATAGTGCGCTTGATTCATCTGTGGCCCCAGCCACTGGCACTGCAGGAGGTTCTGTGCCCAGACTGCAGCCTGCAGCCCTGACAGAGGTTCCTTTTGTGCCCCCCAGTGGCTGTCCTTTGTTAACATCATCAGGAAGATGAAAAAAATCTGGCAGAATTTTTCTGCCCTACAAAGGATAAAGACAAAGGAAGGCACAGTGTTTTCATGAATTTACGAGATAACTGTTTTTCTTCAAAGAAAAGATTAATAGAGGCAATGTCATCTGCTCAAAGTTGAGTGGTTTATTCAAAATAAACTGAAATTTTCTGATTATAAGCATGTGTGTATAGTCTTTCTTCAGAGGATCCAAGTAGTCTCCTGAGCCAATGCCCCAGGGGGTTCTGGCCAAATAGCACCAAACAAGGGCCTTCCTATTGGCCAGCCTCTCCTCCAGAGGGTTGTGAAGGCCCCTTTGGCTTGACTGCTCTACCTTTCTGGCTTTCTGGGGAGGGGGCTGCTGTGGAGGGAAGTAGAATATCCTGATGCTTTTGGCTGTCCTCTCAGACCCTGGGTGCCGGCCAAACCATTCCTTACCACAAATAGATCCCAAAATTGTGGTAAGGTACTGATCTGAATACAGTCCTTGCTGAAATCCTAAGCCCCTCATTTGAAACACCCCTGGGTCACTTCAAAGCAGATGTGAGAACACAGAGACTATGGAGTATGGCAGTGGGAGGGTTGGGGAGTGAGATGTGACTTCACAGGGGCCCTGAGAGCTATGAAGAGGACTCTAGATAGAAGCTGGTAGTGTCTGCAGTTTAACCCCAAGGCTTGAGGACAGCAAATGGCATTGGGTTTCAGTTGGACTTCCACATTTGCTGTGTCAGGAGTGGCTACACCTTCAATGATTAGCCCAGGGGTGAAGCCTTCAAAGCTATGGGCAGCATGCACAGGGCAGTCATAGAGGTTCCAGACACTGCTGGTCTGAACTCCACAGCTGTTCCTCTTTGGACCTTAGTTAGATGTGCCAAACCCCATGCCTGGCACCTGAGCATACAGTGGTGCCAAAGATACATAACTTTACCCTCTAGGAGTCTCCGTATCATGAGGGACACAGATGGAATTGATCACTAGAGAATATTTTCACTGGAGCAAAGTGTCATTGCTACCGGCCAGTGAGCAGGGGCACCACAGCCTTGATGGTCTTAACAAATAAGAGAAAATAGCACTTGCTGGCAAAATCAGAAGTAGGGATTCTCTACATAGCCCTCCCCTCCCACATAGCAATCTAAGCATTGCCTGTGCACTGGGTTCTATTTCAAGCACTGAGGATATAGCCATGGATCTTGCCTTCTTAGACCAGTTTCTGTCACCACAAGACAATCTCTTAACAGTGACTGAGCATATATCCACTTAGTCATCCCGTCTGAATTAGGTGCTGTTGTATGCACATCACATAACTATTCAAAATGTGGTCGCCATGGGCCTCCCTGGTGGCGCAAGGCGTTAAGACTCAACCTATGAAGTTTGCAACCACTGCAGCACGAGTTCGATCCCCGGCCTGCCAGGGAGCTACCCACATGGTGCAGCAGACCTCTCCTGACTCGCCTGCTGTTCCTCTCAGCAGTGTACTTCAGTCTGCCTGTTCTGTTCCCCACTCTGTCTCTGGTGAATCCTCTTACCCCCCACACCTCTGGCCTGTGCCCCAGCTCTTGTATGCATAAATAAATAAATCTTTTAAAAAAAAATGTGGTCACCAATGCCCTGCTAGTAAATAGCAAAATAATAATATATTCACTGTTAGCAACTGGATGGTTAGCAACTGGATGGTAATACAGATGAGAACACCGTTCAGCATAAAGCCTAGATTTGACTGCATCAGCAAAATAGGTCAGAAGTAGGAGGGAACTGCCACCACCCCACCCCCACCCCCGAAATGAGCCAGGCTGAGTGATGAGAGGTTTTAGGCATCAAAATGGCCCCCGGCTTCAAAAGGTGCAGAAATTAGGATGTGGTTGTGAACTTCCCAGAGGCAGCAGCAGGTGGAGCAGAACTGGGGGTGAGGCAGTCCACTTCCCTCCTTGTTTCCTACCTGCTAGCTTTCTGGCCTCCAGTGCTGAGTTAGCAGAGCAGTAACAGCGTACAGTGGCAGATATACCTCAGTGGACACAGGTTATAGAAATGTGGGGGAATAGAGTTCACAAAAATAAGGAACATCTTGTGGGGATCTATATAAAGTTTTTAAAAGACAGAGAAAAAGGTAGCAGCATTCATGGATACCAGAAAACCATGATATCCTTGGTAAGATTATGATTTAGTTGGTATTTACCATATTTCAGAAAGTTAGGAGATTCATATAATTTTGTAAAAAATTTACTTGTTTCTACTCTTGTGTGTTGTACTCAAAAATTGAGAGACTTCTGACCTAATGAGTGAATTAAAGACAAGCTACAGAAAATCCCAGTACTCCTAAATTGATGACTGGATTTTCATCTAAATCGGAAACATTTCTTTTTCAGCAATTCCATTTCTTTGGGAATTCAGAGAGAAGGGGTGAGGTTCTTGCTGCTGATGTCTTTACCTCCATGCAGGAGTCCTGGCTTCAGCATCCCAGCCTTGGCTGAGCCACAACAGCTCCAGCTGACACCTGCTCTCCCTCCCCCAAGAAAATGCCCAGAACTTCTGTATTTGTTGCAACAGGTGATCCCTAAGGATGACTAGATGAATGAATACACCCATGTGCTTGGTCACTAGTAAAACCTACCTCTGTGTAGAATCTTTGAGTAAAGTAGATAGACTTGCCCTAAGATCAGAAAACACAGACTGCTTTTCTGGGAGAGCAGGTTGTAACATGATATTGAGAAGCCACAGTTGGGACTTGACTTCAGTGGTGTTGCTCTTGTCTGCGCGTCCACCTGGGGTTTGGGCTTGTGCTCTGGGGCCTGCACATCTCTGCTTGGGCATAACCCAGCCCCAAAAGGGCAAGGAGACTGAAAATGAAAATAACCAGGCTCTGGCAGTTGGCCACTGTTCTGCCCCCCCACATCCACACTTAGCAATAATTTGATCTTTCTCTGAGGTGATGGTGTCTCGGTTATGGAAAAGTTCCATTCCACTCTTTACCTGTGCCAGCTCTGAGGCAAGGTGTGTTTCTGTGTATCTGATCACCTGCTGCATTCCTGTGGGTTAGTTAAGGGTCTGACTTTCCCTGGTGCTGGCTGAGGTTTCTCCAGGAAGCCCGCCTGTCTGCAGACTGGAGCCCACCGTCCCACAACAGACAGCGTCTTCCTAAAACCTGGCTCGGGAGGGCCACCCTGGGAGGTCCAGACCGGCAGCAGAGCTGGCCTCCAACGTGTTCTTGGCCTCTGGCGAGTGTCAGTACCGGTCCCACAGCATTCATGCGCAGTCATCGGCTTCGGAGGCGCCCCCAAACCTCCGCAGTATTAAGTCATCTTTTGGCGCTGCCTCCTTGCTGCCACCCTGCTCCCGGGAGCAAGAAAATGCAGGCCACATTTTTCCGGGAGGAAGGAAGGGTGTCTTAATCGGGCCACGGAGAAGTTACCAACGTTTGGTTGGTTGGTTTTTTAACGGAGCTGCTACTGTCTGCATCTCCACTTGGGGGGCTCGGCTTCTGCCCCGGGGAGTGTCCATCTCCGCCCAGCGATAAGCCAGCTGGGGAAGAGGAACCAGAGCGGGCCAGAGCCCCGGGCGCAGAGACCCTGAGCGCGGCGCGGCGCGGGAGCCCCCGGCCGGCGCAGCATCCGAGGCGGCCGGCGCAGCATCCGAGGCGCCGTCTCCGGGCGAAGGCGGCGCGCGCGGCCCGGGCCGCGGTTGTCCGGGCGACGGCGCGGCGCGGGCATCCCCGCCGCCCCTCCCCTGAGCGCGCGCGCGACCTGGGGCGCCATGGCTGCGGCGGCGGCGGCAACCCCGCGGCCCGAGGCCGGCGCGGCCGGCGAGGCCAGGAGTCCGCCATGGGTGCCGCGCGAGCACGACCGGGCCCGGGCAGCGGCCGGGCTGGGCGACTGCGAGGACGCGCCGGTGCGGCCGCTGTGCAAGCCCCGCGGCATCTGCTCGCGCGCGTACTTCCTGGTGCTGATGGTGTTCGTGCACCTGTACCTGGGCAACGTGCTGGCGCTGCTGCTCTTCGTGCACTACAGCAACGGCGATGAGAGCAGCGACCCCGGGCCCCAGCGCCGCGCCCAGAGCCCCGGGCCCGCGCCAGCCTTGGGTCCCCTCGCCCGGCTCGAGGGCATCAAGGTGAGGGCCCCCGCCTCTCCCCGCGCCGGGCCCGGCCCCGCCGAGCGGGTGCTTGGGCGCGCATTCCCGGGGCTGAGCAGCTCCGGGCCCGCGGCGCGCACATCCTCCCCCGGCCCGGGGGCTCTGTCCCCCCACCCGGGCGGCGCGGCCTGCACCCAAGCTGCCCCGCTGCGCCCCTTTCTCATAGGTGGGGCACGAGCGTAAGGTCCAGCTGGTCGCCGACAGGGATCACTTCATCCGAACCCTCAGCCTCAAGCCGCTGCTCTTCGGTAAGTCCGCTGGGCGCTCCTGGGTAGGGCCGGGGGCTGGCTCGCTGGCAGCCTTGAGGCGCATTCTGACCACGTGACTTCTGTTTTGAAAATGGCTGCCTCAAAGTAGCCCTTTCTTTTTCCACCCAGATGTTTTCCACAATGAAGTTCCAACATTCACCTCCCGTAATAGGATAATAAGGTGACCTTTCCACAACCCCCTCTTGGGCCCCTGCTCTCTGCTGCTGATGCTTCCATCAGCGGGCCGCGCAGTGTGGCCCAGAAGCTGGTGTCTAAACAGATTGTTGAAATTGTGAACCCGCCCTGCCACCACTGATTCTGTCACATTCCAGAATAGGGAGAGGGAGAGAGAGAGGCTGGTAATTAGGTCCTAGCTGATCTCAGGGCAGGGAGGGATATTCCCCAAATGGACCCTGTCATCTGATGAGAAGCAGACTGTTTAAATGCTCCCACGCCTGCCCCCAGGGCACCAGTGTGTTACCCGTACTCCGGTATCCTTCTCAGACTGGAGTCTTCCTAAAACCTGGCTCCAGCAGGCCACCCTGGGCCTGTGTCAGTACCGATCCTACCCTTAAGGGTCTGACTTAACAGCTGTTCAGCTGTAGCAGACAAAGTCTTCCAGGGTGACCTCATTTGGTGCCTGCATCATAGCTCACATTTTTCTGAGCTCTTGTTATGTGCTGGCTTCATGGGACCTTTTCATTTTATTCTTACAACCCCTCTGTGAGGTGGGCTAATGTCAGAGTGAGGCCGGAGAGCTAACTTTAGACCCCAGGCCGCCTGCCTGTAGAGCCTGCCCTCTAAACGCCAACATGTTAGCTGTGAAGACTGAAATCCTTCAGAGACCACCAGTGTCGAAAACGTGATCCTTGCCCCAGATAGGTTTGCCCACCCTAGCCCTGGGGACCCAGACTTTTCATCTGCAGACCCTGAACTGGTTCTGGCTGCTGGGGCATGGAGGGGGAAGGGAACTTTAAGAAGGGGCCTCCGAACCAAAGAACACTTGCTGTTACCCCTGAGATATCTATAATCCCTGAACTCCTGAGAGTGATGGATCTCATGTGCATGCTGTTACCCATACTCTGGGGTTATACGTTACCTCAGTCCTGTTGTGGGAGTGACCTTAAAAGGTTATTATAATTTATTACTATTACTATTATAAAGTTGAAGTCTGTACCAAGCACTATTTGAAGTGCTGGGAAAACAGCACTGAACAAGAGGAAGAAAAGAACAAGCACCAAAATCTGAAATGGACATTTGAATGAGGAGTTAGACAATAAACAAATATACTTGTTTCAGATGGTGATAAATGATTGTAGACAAGTGAGGCAGAATTTCAGCTGGGGTTGAAACTCTTAAAAAGGTGACTAAGGTGGACCTCTCTGAGAAAGATATTTGAGCACAGACCTGTAGGAGGTGTGAGATCAAGCCAGTTGGCCGTCAGGAAAAAGAGAACACTCTTACCACTTGACTGCTACACTGCAGTGAACAGACACATCTGTCCTCCCATCAGCCTTGTTGGGACTGTATGTATTAATTCAGAAAATATTAGGTTAAGTGAACCATGAGGCCAAAATCCTCCTACTGTGCAGCTTATTTTATCCAAGTCCTAAAAAGCAGAGAATGAGAAACCCAGAGTCACCAAGAGGAAATTATGGGAGGCAGAAGAGATTTGACAACTGCCCCCATTAAATTGTCAGATGGGTGTCTGTTTCTACCGATAGATTACAAAAGGCATTTTTGAATTGGGCATTTAGAGTTGGGCAGCTGCAGCAAGAGCTTCCCACTTGTGGTCCTTCCTCCAAAATGCTTGCATATGAATCTGTTGTTTTTACCCAGAAAGTCCGGGGGCTTGCTGCTTGGTGAAATGAAGTGAGATGATTGAAGAAGAGATGAGTGTTTTAGTCCCATTGTAAGAGAGGAAACCCAGGGAGAGTTTGTTCAAGGAGGGGCAGTTCCCAAATGCTCTGGGTGAATCCCAATACAGAAGCCTCACCCCTCGAGGGAGCCGAGTCTATTTCTGTGCCTGTCCATCTGACCACTGGTCGCTATCCACTGTCACCCTAAGGAGGCAGGCAGAGGCTGAGGAAAGGCATGTAGTGGGGGTTCTGCCACCTGTACTCTGCTGCTCTTAGCTCCAAACTTGTGACCCTCCAGCCTTGGGCACCCAAGGTGCCAGGGTTTGAGGAGTATTCTGGATGTGCACTGGGCCAAGCGGATTGGGTTCTAGCCCAGGGGCCTCCATCTTCAACATCCCCTCTCCCTTTGGGAAACAATTTCTGTTTCCCATCTTTGTCTCTAAGGACAGATGGGACCTGGGTTCCTGGCAAGTACATGCATGACTATAGTGGGCATTTCCAAAGAATTGGGCCATCTGAAGAAGACTGCATCCTGCCCAGGGGAAATGGCTTTCTTTCATGTAGTTCATTTCTCCCTCCAGCTCTCCCCAACCCACTCATTCTCTCTTCAAACCGCAGATCAGATCTCATCTTTCCCTGCCTTACACGCCCAAGATTTCCCATTTTACTTCTAAGTCTCATTTGGTGCCCCAAGGCCCTCTCACCTCTAAGACCTCATTCCTGCCACCCCCTGTCACTCCCTGCTGATTCTTAGCTCAGTGCTGTCTCAGACCTGGCTCTTCCCATAGTGAGTACCTTCAGCTTCATCAGGCCTCTGCAGACACCCCATCCTCAGAGGCTGCTCTGGACCTCAAACTGGTATGAAGAGTTTCCGAGTGCTCGGTTGCATCAACCAGCTGGGTTTTCTTCTCAGCACTTAGCATCATTGGAAATTATTGTCTCAATTTTATTTGTGTCTTTTGCATCTCTCAAGATGAACTGCAGGGCCTGATTTGTTCTGGCCAGAGTCTTGTCTACTGCTGATAATTGTTGGCAGGCTGGAGGGGCTTACTGGGCACCTCCTCTACTTCAGCAGCTGTCTCCTTGCTCCTGGTGGCCTCCACTGCCTCTCTGTGCAGGTGCCTCCTGACTTGGGACCCTCTCCAGGAGCAGCATGCTGGTGGCACTTCCAGTGGGCCAGCAAGAGTGTTAGTTCATTTTCTTTTTAAAAAAAGATTTATTTATTTATACAAGAGCTGCGGTACAGATCAGAGACATGGGGGCGGGAGATGACTCACAGGAGAGGTCTGTCACGCCATGTGGGTTGCTCCCTGGCTGGCCAGGAATCGAACCCACACACTGCAGAGGCTGCGGACAGCTTCACAGTGCTGCCCTCAACCCGCTGCCCCACCAGCGTGGCCCCTGAGTTCATTTTCTTAACCATTTGAGGTAAATGCATAATTTGACATCAGTACACAAAACAATTTATATTAAAATCATGACCTCTTTATTACAGAGTTTCCAAATACTTCCTTTTACAGCTTAAGAAAACAGGCAGCTACTTAAGACCTCTGTGCTCTGGATAAACATGGAAGGCTCAGAAATAGGGAAAGAATTTTAGTGTGCCTAACAGGTCAGGTTTTTAGTTAAGGCAATTTAATGTAGCTTCCTGCAAGGAACCCCCTCTCTGTCCTTCTGTGCCTGTTCCTTGGCAGAACTGTGGACTCAGTAAAGGTCAGGCAGGTGTAACTGAGTCTGCCTGAGGCTTGACAAGTAGCATCCTGCTCAGGGCGAGCATAACCGAGGCTTTATGCCTGCCCTGAGACTCAGCGTGGGATGCCGAGGTGTAGGGCAGTAGCTAGGCTGTCATCCCAGGCCTGGGGAGAAGAGTAAGGCATTCTTGCCCCCAGCACACACAACTGCTAGGGAGCTGGCCAGCCTTTGTCCAGGCAGAGCACTGCCGGCTCAGGAAGGGTCCCCTAGCTGTGACCATGGAATGGGCTTCCACCCTGCTCACCCACTCCTAAGCCAGCCTGGGGACTTCTCTGGACTCTGGCCTGTAAATCTCCATGGGGGTTTTGGGAGGTTACATGTGTTCAGGGGAGCATACACCCTGTGTGGCAACTACAGCCCTTGCCTGCGTTAGCCCCTATTCTGGGCACCGGTGGTGGTGCCACCTGCGCATGGCCAGCTGCAGATTTCGGTGGCTCTGGCTCCAAGGATAGGCTGTGGTTACCAGCAGCCGGTGGTCCTGCACCTCCCCACTCAGCACATAGGTCCCAGCATGCCTTCCACGAAGAAGGTTGTGCACACATGTGGCATCCAGCTGCAGCCAGAGTCGCAGAGTTGGCACCAGCTCCTCAGGGGGCAGTGGGCCTGCCTTAAGCACCTCTAGCCGAGAGTCCAGATCGCGGTCTGAGGGGCTGGAGGATGACCCGTTGCGCCAGGAAAGCCGAACTTTCACCGCTGAATGGGGTGAAAGAGGCTGGAGATGAGTACCATGGGAATGCCCCTCCCTGTGGGCTCCCCCTACCGAACCAAACCCTCTTGTCTGAGGCTCTGCCCTTGTGATCCGTGTCCTAGAAAACAGCTGTTCTCCTGGATGCCACTCTTCTTAGCAGATTGTTTTGTTGTTTTAGCAACACCCCACACTTATTAAAAGAATTTTTTTTCAGTTCTAACCAGGCATAGCATTTAGGTATATCCTGTCCCATTTGTCCCGGCACCAAGCTAAGGCGGAGGCCCTTGTAAGGGGGGCTCACCAAAGTCGTTGGTACAGAGCGTGTCCAGCACCTCCCTGGATGAGCGGGCCTCCTGCAACTCGCAGTCCTTGCAGCTGGCACGTGGCACTGTGGGGAGGAGGGGCCTAGTGAGGCTCCCAGTGGGCCCCAAGTGTGTGGGGGGGAGTCATCAGCACTGGTCCCCTCCGCTCTCCCCTCCTTTTTTACCGTTTTTGAGGAAGGCAGCTGCTGTGGCTGGTCCCTTCCCCTCCTGAGAGACCATTTGGCTGAACCCCGTGGGAAGTGACGTGAAAGGGTTCAGCTGATGGTCCCTGTGGCTGCCCAGGGGGCAGAGCGAGGGCAAAACCTACAAGTCATTCAGAGACTCACGTGAACGGCCGGGGCGGGAGCCGTTGGAGATGGCTGCGACACAGAGGCCGTGACCGGTAGGGAAGCGCTCACAGTGCAGGATGGCTGGCCAGGGGTAACCGTAGCAGGCCATGATGGGGGCACAGCTGGCTTGCACAGCCTCACACAGACTGCGGCACGGGTAGATGACCCTGCAGGGGAAAGGGTTGGATCAGTGGGGTGCTTTGGACCAGGGCTCATGGCTGGGCTTTGAGCGTTCCTAATACTGAGGCACGGCCAGTAACTCCACAGTTGCTGGGCAACGATGCCCTGGTCACCTAGCAACGGCCCTGCTGCCTGGCTTTCTGCATGCTGGAATCTCCACTCTCAGCCCTGCTCTACTCTCATACCCACTCCCAGCACTTATGTCTTCTATCTCCTCACCTCTCTTCCCCATGCCTAGGCTGCTTTCCAGTGCACCTCCCTCTCCAGCTCCAGAGAACAGACGTGCCTGGGGGAGGGCGGGAGAGGCCCTGCTTTCTGGACCTTTGCTCCTGAGCTTAGAGGGAGAAAGGCCTGTAGGACACTGGACTCGCCAAGGCTGGTGTTGATAAAGAGTACAGGACAGGTGCTTGGATTCTGAAAGAGCCCCTTTTTTGGGCCTTCCTGGTGGCTCAGGGGTTAAAATCTCAGCGCTGTGAAGCTATCACCAGCCACTGCAGCATGAGTTCGATCCCCAGCCAGGGATGTAACCCACATGGCGCAGCAGACGTCTCCTGCCTCACCTGCTTCTCCTCTCAGCAGTGTGTTTCAGTTGATCCACCTGTTCTGCTCCCCACTCTGTCTTTGGTGAATCCTCTCACCCCCCCATCACCGGCCTGTACCCCAGTTCTTGTATGCATAAATAAATAAATCTTAAAAAAAAAAAAAAGAAAGAAACTTTTTGCCACTACTGGCATGGTCACCCTGAGGCTCTGGCAATGGCCCTCACTCTGTAAAGAGGAATTGAAGAATGTGTTCACTGCATAGGTTAGGCTAGGGAGGAGGCGTCGGCCTTGCTATCTCTAGACTGTCTGGGAGAAAAAGCCTCCCAGTTGATCTGGAGCTCCTGCCACCCCCAGCCTAAAGCAACCTCCCCATTTGTCCTACCTTGAAATTCAAGAGCCCTGATGATTTGTGGGTCCAGACCAAGCGTGCTCACCGCCGGGGATCCCCTGACTATTGTCTCCTCTGTCCCCTGGGACCTGTCCCCTCTGCCAGGAATACTAACGAAACGATCCTTCACCTTCTGTCCCACCCCGTCAGCACCCAGCACTGACAGGTGCACAGTGCCAGAGACTCCCCTACCCCCTCCCCATACCTGGGAGCCTCAGCCCTACCTGTCAAGGCACACAGGTGCAAAGAGGGAGCAGAGAAAGAGGCGGGCGTCAGGGTGGCATTCCCGGGCTAGCAGGGGCAGCCAGCTGGCTGATTGTTGGATGGCTTCTGCTGTGGTGTCATGGTCCAGCAGGTTGGGCAGCCGCATCTCTGTGTATCCAATGTCATGGCACAGTGCCATGGTGGGGGGGATGGGCGTGCACCGTGTGGGGCCCCAGGGAACCCCTGCCCCAGCATCACCCCACAGCACCACCAGAACTACCAACAGCCACAGCCCTTGATCCATCACCTGCTTCTCGGACTTGGTCTTAGTGGGCTGAGACTGAGGGCTTTATAGGGCTGTATCCACATACCACATACCCCAGGAGCCAATTTTTGCCCCTCAGGTGTTTGGACCCATCTGGGTAGGCTCCAGCCCGCTGGCCTGGGCTATTTGCATTTGATTAGCACTTGGCAGGGGATTGTAGAGGTTGGCCTTGCGCCTGGGCCTGTGGATAACTGGATAACCTTATAAACAGCACCTAATAAACTGAAGAAACCTGGGCCTGTGTTTTCTTTTCTTAATCTGGCTTACTTTTCTTCCTTACTTATTTTTTTAAGCTATCAGGAGGTGATTCTCTTGATTAGCAATTGGTGTAGCCCATTGTCCAGCAGCACTGCCCCCACCCCTACTCCGTGGGTAGCTCACACCCTTCCAGAGCTACCCAGGTTGGTGTTAAGCAGGCCAGGGGTGGCAGCCTTTGTCTTGCCCTCAGTCATCACATCTGGGTCACCTCCCTGTGGATCTGATTCTTGTCCTGAGTGTGAAGCCTGGAGTACAACAGCCTGGGTGACCCAGGGCAAGTCACTAATCTCTTCCTGCTTGGCTTGCCTCTTGGATAGGATGGAAAATTAATGGTACCTATCTTCCGAGGATAAGTATACAGAGAAAGGAGTTGATGATGTGCTTAGGATAGCACCTCACACAGACTGCTACTAAGGTGTGATCCGCTGTAATCACTTAAAAAAATAGCTGTATTACTATCACTTTTTGAAACTGGCTCAGAATGGCCATTTTAAAACTGGCTCAGTCTTGACAGTGCCTGGAGCTTCCTTCTGGGAGTATAATCGGGAAGTGGCTGATCTCTCTGCAGGTTTATGACAGTTACAGTGGCAGCATGGCCCATTCTCTGATCAGTTCCTGTGTGGACCTCTTGGTCCCGCCTGAGGAAGTCCGGTCTCCCAGGAATGAGGGCATGAAGCAGGGCCCAGGCTTCTGCTCTGAAAGTGCCTGGGACCAGTGTGATGTGGGCTCTCTGGGTATGCGGCTGGTATGCAGCTCTACCAAGCTACTTGCAGAGATGAGTGTGGGGACCTCCAAGCACTGAAGCCCATCCTGAGGCCCGACTGATCTTTACTCAGGGCCTTCGCGGCACTGCTCTGAGTGTACTGCAGTGGACATTTGCTTACAAAGGATGCTGGCAAAGCAGTTATTCTTCAACCAGGCTTCAATCAAGGTTATAAGGAAGGTGCAAAAGTCATTATAAAGAGCCTCCCCAGTGGCGCAGCGGGTTAAACGCAGCACTGTGAAGCTGTCCACAGCCTCTGCAGCGCAAGTTCGATTCCCTGGCCGGCCAGGGAGATTCCCACATGGCGCAGCAGACCTCTCCTGTCTTGCCCGCTGCTCCCTTCAGCAGTGTACTTCGGTCGATCTGCCTGTTCTGTTCCCTGCTCTGTCTCTGGTGAATCCTCTCACCCTCCCACACCTCTGGCCTATACCCCAGCTCTTGTATAAATAAAATAAATCTTTAAAAAAAAGTCATTATAAACTATGGACAACTCAGGGGGACTCTGAGAAACTATGCAGTCATACAAGGGGAAATCTAAAATCAGAAAAAGTAGATGTGGCTCTGTGAAGAAGTGCTTTGCTCTCCTGGAGTCACCTTCATGATGATAGTTCAGCTTTAATCAGTAAAATAAATATTCTTCTGGATGCAGTTGGCCAGTGTGAAGAGTATGTGCTCAAACATCTGAAATCAATCACTCCGCAACCCCATGTAATAGATTTATTGGACTCCATTCAAGATATGGACCTTTGTCATGTAGTTCCAGCTGAGATAAAGACTGATGAAGCTAGAGATGAAAGACTCTGTGAAAATAATGCTGAGTTTAACAAAAGCTGTAGAGAGAGTCTTAGTGGGGTAGATTGTTGTTCATCTTTAGAATGTTGTAGAACACAGGAGCATGCACATTCTGAAAACCCAAGCCTCACTTGGATTTTAGAACAGACAGACAATTTAGTGAAACAGCTGGGTCTATCAGTAGAGGTATTACAGCATCTCAGACCACTATAAAAAGTATCTTCACTTCCAATGAAAATAATATTCAGAACATTTCTTAGATCATTCTGTTTCTTAACATGCTAGCCAAAAATTGTACTTGTTTCTACATTGAACATTTCACTACAGGGTTAGCCTTCATGGGAGTTTGAAATGTCTTCAATATTAACACTATTAAATGTAGTAACTCTTTGTTACTGAAAATTTTTATGTAGTTTAAGATACACTTACGTCTTTGTGTTTTTCATTTTCATTATGACAGTGTATCATTGTCATTTTCAAATTTCTGATTAACACTAGGTTTTTTCAGCGCTCAACCGCTGCGCCACCGGGGAGGCCCAAGAAATTATTTTTAAAGATTTATTTATTTATATAAGCACTGGGTACAGTCAGAAGCGCTGGAGGGTGAGAGGATTCACCAGAGCCAGAGCAGGGAACAGAACAGGCAGACTGATGAAATACACTGCTGAGGGGAGCAGTGGGCGCTGCAGGAGAGGTCTGCGTGCCATGTGGGACCCTTGCCGGCAGCCGGCGATCGAACCAGAGCTGCAGAGGCCGTGGGCAGCTTCGCAGCCCAGCGCTCAACCGCTGCACCACTAGGGGAGGCCCGGAACTGAAGAAATGTTAAACAGAATACTAGAAATTGATACTAGTTTCCCATTGATTAAAAGAAACAGCATACTGTTTCAGAAAAAAATACAAAAAATGTATTTCATGCTCAAGTACCTACTTAGGCCTTCCAAGTATTCAGGAATTAGTACTGTTGATCTAACAAAGTGCCAGATTATTTCTAAACTGCAGTTTTGTTTTATATTTATACAAGAATAAAACACTCAAATGACTGATTTCTAAAAAACAAAACAAAACAAAGGATTGGGGAAGCAAAGAACACCTAGGGCGTCTTCTCAGAGGCCAGCATCTGACAAAAACCTGAGTGACCCCCACTGACCTTAGAGTCGGGGCAACTCAGCCCACTCTGTGGCTGCATGATGACCCATGGTCAGCCATATGGTCAGCACCCGTTCATGTAGGAGAGTACACGGCAAGGGTTGGCCTAGAGCATTGAGTGTCTCGCATTGTTTTTACTGGAACGATGCTGAAAAGCAAGAATCGAGCCACCATCCCCTTTACTTTAAGAATATACATTGGGCCTCCCTGGTGGTGCAGGGGTTGAGCGCTGGGCTTTGAAGCTGCCCGCAGCCCCTGCAGCACCGGTTCGATCCATGGCCACCAGCGAGGGTCCCACATGGTCCTCCTGCTTCCCTCAGCAGTGTACTTCGTCAGTCTGCCTGCTCTGCTCTCCCCTCTGGCTCTGGTGAATTCTCTAACCCTCCTGTGCTTCTGACTGTACCCAGTGCTTGTATAAATAAATAAATAAATCTTTAAAAAAAAAAAAATTGGAGGCTAACCTTCAAGTACATGCTTCGGTTCCACCCTAAGGTGAATTAACCCATGGCCTGCTTAGACCTGGCTCACCTCCCAAACTCTCCTAGAAAATGTGTTCTCTCAGCTTCAAAGAGAGAGGCCCCATGTTTTAAACATTGGCCAACATCTGCATAAGAACCCAGCCTTGGTGTCAGGATCCAGAGCAGATATAAAGGGGTGTATGAAGTTCTCCTGACATGGTGGCTACCGGGGGACGGGGCGTACCCATGAGCCCTCAAAGAGGAGACACTGGATGCACCAGTGCTCTGGCTCCATCCTTGGCCTCACCCGCGTCCTCTTCTGACAGAAATCCCTGGCTTCCTGAGTGATGAGGAGTGTCGGCTTATCATCCACTTGGCACAGATGAAGGGGTTACAGCGCAGCCAGATCCTGCCCACAGAAGAGTACGAAGAGGCCATGGGCACAATGCAGGTCAGCCAGGTGGACCTCTTCCGGCTGCTGGATCAGAACCGTGATGGTCGCCTACAGCTCCGTGAGGTTGGGATCTTGGTGCCTGTACTAGGCACAGGGTGGGGGTGTCCAGAATTGTCTTTCTGGTGACCAGGTCATTTGTCTAGCTCAGCCCCAGCCCCAAGAGTCAGATGCCACCCCAGGTCAGCTTGGGCATATGTAGATCCGAGGTCCCTTTACTTCTTGGAGAGCTGTTACTGTGTTGGGAACCCCAGAAGGTGGCACCAGGGGGATGGTGCCATTTCTTGTCACAGTACCAGGGTGGTGTACTGTCTGAGATCTGGATTTCTTGCTATTGTGGCTGGGAGCCCCAAAGAACTCATGTTGGATGGGGTGGCAGCTCTGAGGTGGCTAGAAGTCTCCATCTCTCTTTGCATGCTCCTGATACTCAGGATTCCAAGGGAGGTCTTAGTGGCGTGTGGGGTCCCTGGCATACACAGAGTGCTCTACTGAGTCTGGTCTTCCTGAGGTGCCCGGTGGTTAGTGGTCATACCCTAGTCAGGTCACCCCCTCGTGCCGATTACCTCATCATACCCAGGCCTTGGCTTATCCCACCTCACCTGTGGTATCTGTCTCCCGCCAGCCAACAATGATCACCATGGAGGTCACACTTCCAGTAGCACTGGGAGTGCCCATGACCTTCAGTTCTTTGACGGCTCTCCTGGTCTTCTCCCCAGATGCCTCTAGACCTTCTACCTACCCTCATTTCAGCTCAGGGGACTTCGACTCTATCCTGTGTCCTTGTTTATGTCCTATCATCTGAACCCTTAGCTCTATAGCAAGAACTGGGCAGCTGTCTGTGTTTTTGTGACATTCCGTCATCGGGGTCACCCCAGTGAGAGACCATCTTGTGCTTCAGGTCCTGGCCCAGACTCGCCTGGGGAATGGGCGGTGGATGACTCCAGAGAACATTCAGGAGATGTACTCTGCAATCAAGGCTGACCCAGATGGTGATGGTGAGCTCACATCCTGCCACAATTCTGTCCCTGTGAACTTCCTGTCCCCAAGCCAGGTAGCCTGAGATGAGGAGATGAGGACTAGCCTTGCCCTCACCCCGGGGAGATACAGGAGCCTGACCTTCCCATTCCCCTTGGTGCCATCTAGAGAGCAGTTCTCAGAGACACTTTGACCTCATCAGACCTACAAGAAGTAGGGTTGCTGGGTGTCAGAGAGCAGCAGCAAAGAGAGAGTAAGGCCAGCTTGACTAAGCTGTTCACCCTGCTCTATCCACCTCTCCCCAGCAAGACATGGGATGCACCTCAGCAGACAGCCTCCCTGCTCTAACCCATGTCTCCCTTGCCTCCTCCTTGCCCACCTGAAATTATGCTAACTGGAGGAAGGTTTGGGCAGGGAAGCTGTCGTGTTACTCCTGTGGTAATAACACTAGGAGGTTTCCAAGATATAGTTATCATCCTCACACCCAATTAGAAAGATAGTACAAATTGGACTCAGAATGAACTTGTGCCTGGTGAAAAGAGCAGAGAATCTGGTTGGAGGAACATCTTGCTGCTACTGTCCCCATGTACAGAGCTGGTAACAGGCTCAACACACTGTACACCTGAGTGAGCCCCATGCTCAAAGAAATCTAGGCCAAAGGGTGGAGGGTGGCTTCCTTGAGTCAGCAGGGAACATGGAACAAAGACATCAGCTAGTCTTTTAGTACCCCCGAAAGGTAGAGCCCTTGCTTTGTGGGTTGAACAGGAACAGAGGGCAAGTGTTCTCATTTGAGAGCATGGCTTGGCTTCCTCTGCTGAGGGAGACTGGTAACCCAGTGGCAGGGGCCAGGTATATTCCAGTCTGGATAGAACCTGGTGTCATAAGGGAACCCCTAGGAACCAGCCCCAGTTTACATTCTGTAGTGTGGAAGGCCCTGGACAAAACCCAGCTCCCATTGCTCTGTTTCTTCACCCTCTACAGGACAGGACCGGAGGATGGCCACCACACTCTATAGAGCCAGGCTGGAGGACCAGGGGCAGTTCTTGACCGAGGGTTCTGGCCACATGACTCAAGCTTCCTTTGGAGCTCTGGCCAATATAGTAGTGGTTGGGCTCCTTCCTTTGGGGGGCCAAATCAGGGTTTAAACTGAGGAAATCAACTTCTCTGGGCCTTCCTATAGGGCCTGATATTACAGAATCCAGTTTCATGTGACCCAGAAGTCCAGATGGGGAGCAGGTGCACATGCCCCCCCCCCAGTGCCTAAAGCCAGGAACTACTGGCCCCTTTGGGGTAGGTAGGAAGGTGCAGCCTGCCAAGGGGGCTTCCCAGTGAGCTTGGTGGGCATTGATGGTGGGTGCCCTGTGCAGGAGTGCTGAGCCTGCAGGAGTTCTCCAACATGGACCTTCGGGATTTCCACAAGTACATGAGGAACCACAAGGCGGAGTCCAGTGAGCTGGTTCGAAACAGCCACCACACATGGCTCTACCAGGGTGAAGGGGCCCACCACGTCATGCGAGCCATACGCCAGAGGTGAGCCCCTGAAGCTGTCCTCCATGGTGCAGAGCCCCCACAGAAGTCCTTGACTGGAGCCCAGAGGACAGAATTGATTAGCCAACTCAGGGCTGTGAGACAAGGATAGAATCCATTCAAAGACAGGCAATTAACAAAGGCAAATGAACCCTAATTGTGGGCAAACAGTACACATTTGGGATTAGAAATAGATGTTTGTTTTCTGCTAATTAGAGAAATGAACTGTTATCTCTGTCAACAGGACCCTTTGCTCCTGAGCAGCTAGGGGTTTTAGATAATCTCCTTCTTTGGAGGAGTGCCCCCCAAATTAATGAAAATCTCATTTTCCCCACCCAGTGGACATCATGAGTAACTCCTTCCTACTCCTATAGGGCCAGCGAGGGGCGTCTTAGGGGGCTTTCAGGGGCAGGAGCAGAGCTTGTGGCAGGCCCAGAGCCTACTTGGCTGGCTCCTTCAGGGTGCCACCATGGGTGGGGTTGCTCAGTTGAATGCTCACTACTCCCCAGGGTGCTGCGCCTCACCCGCTTGTCACCTGAGATCGTGGAGCTCAGTGAGCCGCTGCAGGTTGTGCGGTATGGTGAGGGAGGCCACTACCATGCCCACGTGGACAGCGGGCCTGTGTACCCAGAGACCATCTGCTCCCATACCAAGCTGGTAGCCAACGAGTCTGTGCCCTTCGAGACCTCCTGCCGGCAAGTACCTCTCATCTGCCTTCAACTCCACAACAGGCATCCCCATGATGACACAAGTACAGTCATGCCCTGTGGGCACAGTTCTTGGCATGGGGCCAGGAGGGAGCTCTGGGCAGTCTGGTCAAGGACACCCCTGTCTTTCCCCTTGGACTGTCTACCAAGTGACAGTAAAGTGGTGGCCATGATGTCTTAGTGGCCAGACTAAGGTACCCACAGATGCTGAAACCTGTCTCCAGAGGTCTGAGGCAAGGGAAGGCTGGATCCCCAGATCTTTCTGCCCATTTCCCTGTGTGCTGAACCTGCTTCCACTAATGGAGGACTCAGCCTTTCCCTTTGAAGCTGTGACCCCCTCCTCTGCCAAGGTGCACAGGCAGGTCTCGCTTGTTGGTGTGGCTGCTCTGGCTCAGCCCTTAAGAGTACAAACTGCATGAACTTGCTGCTCTGCTAGCCAATCTTTCCCAGCTGGCCCTGGTCAGGGCCACATCATTTAGCCAAGTGTACTTGTGATCTTGGCCACAAAAACATTGACTGGGCTTGTCAAAGGGCTGGCTAGGAGCATCTTAGCACTGTTGTCACTGACCCTAGTCTGCCCCTCTGGCCCTTGGGAACCTGGGCAGCTTATCCTGCCCACAGGATACTGGGAACGCCTGCAACTGGGGACCTGCTCAACAGCCCCCCTGCCTTTCAGCTACATGACTGTGCTGTTTTATTTGAACAACGTCACCGGTGGAGGTGAGACTGTCTTCCCTGTAGCAGACAACAGAACCTATGATGAAATGGTAAGGGCCAACTGGGCTCTTCCTATGGTGGGATGGCAGGGCCTGGGACAAATTAGTACCACTTCCTCCAGACCTGGGGTGAGGGTCCCCGGGGCACATCTGACTGGTTTCCCTCTGGCCAACTTTGGCTTCCTGGCCTTGGTTCCTGGCAATACAATGGGGCAGCATGAAAACCTCGCCACCCTGCTGCCCACAGAGTCTGATTCAGGATGACGTCGACCTCCGTGACACGCGGAGGCACTGTGACAAGGGGAACCTACGTGTCAAGCCCCGGCAGGGCACAGCAGTCTTCTGGTACAACTACCTGCCTGATGGACAGGGTAAGGGCCTATGGCCAAGCCAGGTGTACCCGGAGGGAAGTTTCCCATTACTCAGCCCCATCCTTGTCACCCTGATGGGCTGTTTATGGCCACCCTACAAATGGTTTTCTACCCCTAGTGCTTCCCAAAGACCATCCTCAGTGACTTTAGCAGCCTACACCTGTGCGGCCTCCTGGGCTGTCATCACCCTTGTGATCCCCTGGTGATAGTCTTCTGGTTCACTGGGGCTGGGATCATAGCTCCCTCATCACCCCAGGTGAGGAAGGGTTTGTGGACAGTCCTGGCAGCAAGCAAGCAGGGTGCAGAGTTCCAGTGTTGTTGGTCAGATATTAGCTGGAGAGAAATGCTGAGCCCCCAGGGAGGCCAGGGGCCAGGTAATGCTACTGAAGGTGTGCACAGCTGGTTGCGCCGGGCCATGCCCTGTGTTAGGAATGCATGAAGTCAAGCTCAGGTCAGGCCATCCGGTCCCTGTCCTTGCTCACACCATCTTCCTCTCCTAGGTTGGGTGGGCGACGTGGACGACTACTCCTTGCACGGGGGCTGTCTGGTCACGCGGGGCACCAAGTGGATCGCCAACAACTGGATCAATGTGGATCCCAGCAAGGCACGGCAGGCCCTGTACCAGCAGGAGATGGCTCGCCTGGCCCGCGAAGGGGGCGCGGACTCGCAGTCGGAGTGGGCCCTGGACCGGGCCTACCGCGACGCGCGCGTGGAGCTCTGAGGGGCGCGCGGGCCCGGCCGGCCCCGAACCCCGGGAGGGGCGTCTGCGCCCGAGGCGGGTGGGCGGGGGAGGGGCCTGCCGTCCCCTAGGCCAGCTCCAGGCCCAGGGCCTGGCCGATATCTTGTCCCACCCCCAACTCCAGCGCGGAGAGGACGCAGCCCTATATTCATATATTTATTGTGTACAGACCCTGCTGCCCCATTAAATAAAAATCACACGGCTTTGAGCCGCTGGGCCGAGAAGCTCGGGTGGGCGGGAGGGGGCCGGGGCCGGGGCCGGAGCCGGCGGATCCGCGAGGTCACGTGAGGGGCGGGGCGGGGAGACCCCTGCCAATCACGAGCTGGGGTGCGAGGGGCGAAGGGTCGTCATTGGCCGTCGGCCGGGAGACCCGGGCTCGGCTACCTGTTGCTAAGGGCTCCGGGGAGCGGCGCGCGGCGCGGGGCAGGCTCGTTCTCGCGAGAGCGGAGCTGCCTGTCCGGCCGTGGCTGTGGCGGCGGCTCCGGGGCGACATGGACGCTCACGAGGACTACGTTTGGCCGCGGGCTACCTCGGAGCTCATCCTTCTGCCGGTCACGGGCCTGGAGTGCGTGGGCGACCGGCTGTTGGCGGGTGAGGTTTGGCTTTAGGCGCGCGCTGGCCGGTGCAGACGCTGCGCCCGCCTGGGGTGGGCCGTAAGGACAAAGGGATGCCCCGAGGAGGAGGGCGGGCGGCGGGCGGGGGCCGGACAGGGGGTGCGGGGAGCCCAGTAGATGGCGGGAATGGGGCCGGGTCGGAGGGGCCCAAGGGACAAAAAGCTGATATGGCCGCCGAGGTCCTTCACGAACTGCAGCCGCTATGGAAAGGGCGGTTGTGCCCGCGGGAAGGTGCGGGGAATGGGAAGGAGGGGCGTGTGGCCCCACCGAGGTGCTGGCGGGAAGCGGGTGGGGGGGCGCCCTCCCCTAGCCGGAGGGGGAGGGGGAAGGGTGGAGGGGTACCCCCCCCCGGCTGGGGGGCCCAGAGGTGTGGTCTTTGGGGGGGTGGGGCCGGCAATCGCGGAGGTGTGGCCTCGGGGTGGGGGGCGGGTGAAGTACCTTTCTGCAAGGTGGATATGGAAGATTCTTTGAAGAGGATGGAATCGCGGGAAACCAGGGATGAGACTTTGCAGTGCTTGGGGAAGAGAGGGTTGAGGACCCCCCCCAAGGTTGTGGGGTCCAGGTGATCCTATGTCAGTGCCTCTCCAAGGAGTGTCCTGTCGAGCAGCACAGGCCAGCCCTGGGGAGTGAGAGGCCTGATAACGTTTCTGAGTTTCTTGAGGGTTCCTGAGGCAGTCACACCTTGAGTGGGCTGCTCCCAGTCCTACCAGAGGCAGGGATGTGTGTGTGTGTGTGTGTGTGTGTGTGTGTAGGAATATCCCAGTTTTGATCTGGTATGGAGACTCGGGAACGCTAGGATCTCAGGGTTTCTGCTCTGCTAAACTCCTAAGACCCCTGGGGGGAGGGGGGAAGCTAAGCAGAAACCCAAAGAAACACCAGAGTGAACAGGAGAAGAAAAGGATTGCGTTCTTGGCAGAGGGTAAGCATACCAAGGGCCTTGACGCTGGGAGATTTTGTTACTTTTGGGATAAGGAGGGAAGTTTTGTGAGGCTGGAGTAGGGGCAGGGCTTGGGAGAAGCAGCTGGAGAAATGAACACAGGCATATCATTTTAGGCCTTGATATGACTATGCCTCAAGGCGGTGGGAGGCACTGTTGAACAGTTTTAAGCAGGGGAATGATTTGGGTAATTAATTGTAAGTTAAAAAACTCTAAGTGAAATCACCTGCTCCTGTGACTTGCAAAGTGACTTTTCTAGTGCTTCATTTCTCAAATTCCATGTGTGTGCATTTAAACTTTGAATTCCCAGTCATGTTCTCCTGTGAGTTCCAGGCTTAAATAGGTGCCTACAAATTGAAATACTCTTACCACTTTCAGTGGTCCTCCCGAGCTCACAAGGTGGAACACCAGCCCCTCAGGTGCCCAAGCCTCACTCCCCATATCAGCCAGTCTGGTTGATTTTGACTTAATATATGAGACACCTCTCTATTTTTCTACCTTTATTGCCATCATTCAAGGCCATGCAGTTATGTCTCCCTGACCCCCCACTATAGCATTGTCTGTAGCCAATCCTTGTGTCCTTCATTTCCTATTCTATCCAGACTTGCTGTTTTCCCTGCCAAAAAAGGCTCATTTCCCGCTTGTCCCCTGCCTGCTCTTCCTCTAGCTAATTGCTAACATGCCTTTGGGGAGACCTCCCCTGACACTCTCCCATTCTGTTTAGAGTAGACCAGGGCCTCTCAGCTGGGCACTGGTGACATTTTGGATCAGGTACTTCTGTGTATGAAGGGTTGTTTGTGCATTTTTGCACTGTAGATGTTTAGCAGTATCCCTAGTCCCCACTCTACCAATAGTAGGTGCCCAGTGTGACAACTGAAAAATGTCTGCAAACTGATTCTCAGCCTTTGGCTAATAGCAAGTGTGAAAAATGCCTGCAGCCACTGCTAAATATATATATATTTTTTAAAGATTTATTTTTATTTATGCAAGAGCCAGGGTACAGTCCAGATGTGCAGGAGGGTGAGAGGATTCACCAGAGGCAGAGCGGGGAACAGAACAGGCAGACTGACGAAATACACTGCTGAGGGGAGCAGCGGGTGAGGCAGGAGAGGTCTGCCTCTCCATGTGGGTTGTTGCTCCGAGGCCGGCGGGATCGAACCGGCGCGGCAGAGCCTGAGGACAGCTTCACAGCGCTGCTTAACCGCTGAGCTTAACTGCCGAGCTTAACTGCCTGCGCCACCAGGGAGGCCCCCGCTGCTAAATATCTTATGGTGGGGAAGCTGCTCCTTGCTGAGAGCTAGTGGAATAGACTTTCCCATTTTATTTTTTTTCCCTACCCCTAATCCCTCTCCCATTTTATTTTAAAGCAGCCTATATGTTCTTTCCTGGAATTTACCAAAATTAAAATGGTGTAGTTTACTTGTGTGATGATATTTAGTGTTTGTCTAATCCATAGGAGCATAGTCTGTGCTTGTTTTATTCACTAATCCAGCATATAGTTTTTTGGTTTATAATCAATAGTGAACACATTTATAAAATATTGATTGAGATTGCTAGGACTAGCATGAGGGGCAATTATTATCATCTCAGGTTAACAGGTTACATTGTATAGCAAAGCAACCCTGGGGGGAATATTTATAAAATCTTTAGAAAATGAAGTCCACAGAATTTGGAGACAGAATTTGTGGGAAATTAAGAAGAGAAAGCTGTGTGCTCCTTGGTTTGGGGCTGGGGGATGGACAGAGGGTGGTAATGGTCATTTGGTATGGGGCATCTAGAGAAATTGAAGATGAGGTAGTAGAGTGGGAGGTGCCTATGGGGCAGCCAGAAGGCATCTGAGGGTCCATTTCTGGAGACATCTGGGTTGATATGGGTGAGTTCTGTTGCTGCCCAGAAAGCATGTGCGTAGTTATGTTGAAGGAGGTGCTGGACAAGCCTCAGGGAGCACCAGTATGTAGAGGAGGCACTGAGGAAAGGGGAGGAGAAAAATTAGGAGAATAGGTATCTTAGAAGAGAAAAAGTGTTTCCTTGGCCTATACTTATGCCTTTGTGGCTTGCCAGACTTTATACCCTTGATGTCTGTATCTCATCTCCTCCTCCCGAGGGTGTGATGTGCTGCTGCTCGGCTGAGGCTAAGTCTAGACTTCTATACCCTGGGGGAGGCTCCAGCTGGCCAATAACAGGGCCAAGGTCTCCAGCCTAAGCCTCTACCATTAAAGTGTGGCCTGCTTCTTTTAGTTCTCATCCATAATGAGCACACTCACATCTTATGAGATACAGGGAAGACTCACTGGAAATCAGGAGGGGTTCTGCTGCCACCCCAAGGTAGAAAGATTACTTCAGTGGGATACCCTCTTTGCTGGTTGGGGTGGCAGAGGCTTAAGTGGAAGAATGCAAGTAGAGGTAGACGAGGCTAAGGATTTGGGATCTAGAGCTGAGAGGATTCTTCTCTGAAGCATGACAGGTTAGGTGAGTCTGGGGAATTCATGATTGACTTGAATGTCAGGAGAGACTGATGAGGGGATTTGAAAATCTAGCTGAAACTGAGACCTACGATTTTCAAATCTTTAGGATTGTGTGTCCTAATACATTCAAAGGTATGCTGAGAATTTGCCCTGTTCCCTGTCTCTTCTCTCATGATGTCTTACATATCAATGTTAGATGAGGAGTTCTGGCCTCCCTGGTGGCGCAGTGGGTTGAGCGCAGCGCTGTGAAGCTGTCCACAGCCTCTGCAGCATGGTTTTGATTCCCAGCCGGCCAGGGAGATTCCCACATGCCACAGCAGACCTTTCCTGTCTTGCCTGCTGCTCCCCTCAGCAGTGTACATTGGTCCATCGGCCTGTTCTGCCCCCCACTCTGTCTCTGGTGAATCCTCTCACCCTCCTATGCCGCTGGCCTGTACCCCAGCTCTTATATAAAAATAAATCTTAAGGGCCTCCCCGGTGGCGCAGCGGTTGAGCGCTGGGTTGCGAAGCTGCCCGCGGCCTCTGCGGCGCCAGTTCGATCCCCGGCTGCTCCCCGGCCACCGGAGGAGGGTCCCACATGGCGCGCAGACCTCTCCTGCCGCCCGCTGCTCCCCTCAGCAGTGTACTTCGGTCCTTCTGCCTGCTCTGCTCCCCGCTCTGGCTCTGGTGAATTCTCTCACCCTCCCGCGCTTCTGACTGTACCCAGTGCTTGTATAAACAAAACAAACAAACAAATAAATAAATAAAAACATGCCTCTAAAAAAAAAAATAAATAAATCTTAAAAAAAAATAGATGAGGGGTTCTGATAGGACTTTTTTGCCTTTCTCTAGGTGAGGGGCCAGATGTCCTGGTGTACGGCTTGGATTTTGGAGGACATCTGCGGATGATGAAGCGAGTGCAGAACCTGCTTGGCCACTACCTTATCCATGGGTTCCGGGTTCGACCAGAGCCCAATGGAGACACTGACATAGAGGCTATGGTGGCTGTGTTTGGGAGCAAGGGACTCCGAATTGTGAAAATTAACTGGGGGCAGGGTCGCTTCCGGGAGCTCTGGCGCTCTGGCCTATGGAACATGTCTGACTGGATCTGGGATGCACGTTGGCTTGAGGGGAACATGGCCTTGGCTCTGGGCCACAACTCAGTGGTGCTATATGACCCTGTGGTAGGGTGTATCCTACAGGAGGTGCCCTGCACAGACAGATGCACCCTCTCCTCAGCCTGTCTGATCGGAGACACCTGGAAGGAGTTAACCATAGTAGCTGGTGCTGTTTCCAACCAACTTCTGGTCTGGTACCCAGCAACTGGTTTAACAGACAAACCTGTGGCCCCTGACCGAAGGGTCAGTGGGCATGTGGGTGTCATCTTCAGCATGTCATACCTGGAAAGTAAGGGCTTGCTGGCCACGGCTTCAGAAGATCGAAGTGTTCGCATCTGGAAGGTGGGTGATCTACGAGTGCCTGGGGGTCGGGTGCAGAATATTGGGCACTGCTTTGGGCACAGTGCCCGTGTGTGGCAGGTCAAGCTCCTAGAGAATTACCTTATCAGTGCAGGAGAGGACTGTGTCTGCTTGGTATGGAGCCACGAAGGTGAGATCCTCCAGGCCTTCCGGGGCCACCAGGGCCGTGGGATCCGGGCCATAGCTGCCCATGAGAGACAGGCCTGGGTGATCACTGGGGGCGATGACTCAGGCATCCGGCTGTGGCATCTGGTAGGACGTGGGTATCCAGGTTCGGGGGTCTCTGCTCTTTCCTTCAAATCCCGTAGCAGGCCAGGTGCCCTCAAGGCTGTGACACTGGCTGGCTCATGGCGACTTCTGGCGGTGACTGACACAGGGTCGTTGTACCTCTATGATCTCGAGGTCAAATGCTGGGAGCAGCTGCTGGAGGACAAGCGCTTTCAGTCCTACTGCCTCCTAGAGGCAGCCCCTGGCCCTGAGGGCTTTGGACTGTGTGCCATGGCCAACGGGGAGGGGTGTGTCAAAGTTGTCCCCATCAACACGCCAACTGCAGCCGTGGACCTGACCCTGTTCCCTGGGAAGGTGCACAGCCTGAGTTGGGCCCTGCGTGGCTATGAAGAGCTGCTTTTGCTGGCATCAGGCCCTGGTGGGGTGGTGGCTTGCCTGGAGATCTCAGCTGCGCCCTCTGGCAAGGCCATCTTTGTCAAGGAACGTTGCCGGTACCTGCTACCTCCAAGCAAGCAGAGATGGCACACATGCAGTGCCTTCCTACCCCCTGGTGACTTCCTGGTATGCGGGGACCGCCGCGGCTCTGTGTTGTTGTTCCCCTCTAGACCAGGTCTGCTCAAGGATCTTGGCATTGGAGGCAAAGCTGGGGCTGGTACTGGAGCACTTGGAGTGGGGAGTGGTAGTGGAGAGGGTGAGGATGCCTTGGCTGAGTGGGGCCCTGTATCCACCCTTCCTTCGCTGCATGGGAAGCAGGGTGTCACCTCAGTCACCTGCCACAGTGGCTATGTATACACTACAGGTCGTGATGGCACCTACTACCAGCTCTTTGTGCGAAGCGGCCAGCTCCACCCAGTCCTAAGGCAGAAGTCCTGTCGAGGCATGAACTGGGTGGCTGGGCTCCGCATTATGGCCGATGGGAGCATGGTCATCTTGGGTTTCCATGCCAATGAATTTGTTGTGTGGAGCCCCAGGTCGCATGAAAAGCTGCACATCATCAACTGTGGTGGAGGGCATCGGTCCTGGGCCTTCTCTGATACTGAGGCAGCTATGGCCTTTGCCTACCTCAAGGATGGGGACGTCATGCTGTACCGGGCTCTGGGTGGTTGCACCCGACCACATGTGATTCTCCGGGAGAGTCTGCATGGTCGCGAGATCACTTGTGTAAAGCGTGTGGGCACTATCACCCTGGGGCCTGAATATGGGGTGCCCAGCCTTATGCAGCCTGACCACTCGGAGCCCGGCAGCGAAGGACCCGGCCTGACTGACATTGTGATCACGTGCAGTGAGGACACGACTGTCTGTGTCCTGGCGCTCCCTACAGCCACTGGCTCGGCCCATGCGCTTACTGCTGTCTGTAACCATATTTCTTCTGTGCGTGCACTGGCTGTGTGGGGTGTTGGCACCCTAGGTAGCTCTCAGGATCCGCGGCCAGGCCTTACTGCTCATGTGGTATCTGCTGGGGGCCGGGCTGAGATGCACTGCTTCAGTATCATGGTCACTCCAGACCCCTGCACCCCAAGCCGCCTCGCCTGCCACGTCATGCACCTTTCATCCCACCGGCTAGATGAGTACTGGGACCGGCAGCGCAATCGGCACCGGATGGTCAAGGTGGACCCAGAGACCAGGTGATGTGCGCTGCCTGCCTGGGGCTTGAGGTGGGCACTTGTGGGGGGGGTGGGGCAAGCCTCTTACAGCTACTCCCAGGCTCCCCCTGATGGCTCTGTGTTGTCTCTGCAGGTACATGTCCCTGGCTGTGTGTGAGCTTGACCGGCCTGGCCTTGGCCCCCTTGTGGCTGCTGCCTGTAGTGACGGAGCCGTGAGGTGAGAACACAGTGCCTGGGGACCAGGAGACATAAGGTTGTTTAGAATGGGTTCTGAACAACTCCTGTGCCCCCAGGCTCTTTCTTTTACAGGATTCTGGGCGGAGGCTGCAGCTCTTAGCTGAAACTTTCCACCACAAGCGGTGTGTCCTCAAGGTCCACTCATTTACTCATGAAGCACCCAACCAGCGTCGGTGAGGAGAGCTATGTGATGGTCCAGCATGGGTTGGGTGGGGGCTCTTGTTCTTTTTCTCTCACTGACCTAGCTGCCTTTTTTTCTGGCTCCCAGGAGGATGTTTCTGTGCAGTGCAGCCACTGATGGCAGCTTGGCCTTCTGGGATCTCACCACTATACTGGATCATAGCTCTACTGCCTTGGAGCCTCCAGCTGATCCTGGACTTCCCTATCGTGAGTGGCTAGCATGCAACTGTCTTTCCCCTCCCACCTCTCACTTTGCCCTCACCTGTGTGGCACACTAAGCCCTGACAACCATCTTCTCCCTCCAGAGCTGGGCACCCCCTGCCTGACCCTCCAGGCTCACAGCTGTGGAGTCAACAGCCTGCATTCCTTGCCCACACGTGAGGGCCACCTAGTAGCCAGTGGCAGTGAAGACGGCTCCCTTCACATCTTTGTGCTTGCTGTGGAGATGCCAGAGCTGGAAGAGGCTGTAGGGGGTGCTGAGCTGGTGCCCCAGTTGCATGTGCTAGAGGAATACTCTGTTCCCTGTGCACATGCTGCCCATGTGACAGGCCTCAAGATCCTAAGTCCAAGCCTCATGGTTTCAGCCTCCATTGACCAACGGCTGACCTTTTGGCGTCTGGGGCATGGTGAACCCACCTTCATGAACAGTACAGTGTACCATGTACCAGACGTGGCTGACATGGACTGCTGGCCTGTGAGCCCCGAATTTGGCCACCGCTGTGCTCTTGGGGGCCAGGGGCTTGAGGTTTACAATTGGTATGACTGAGGTATCCCGTGGCAGCTGGCATCCTGGGCATGGGTCCTGCTCGTGGACAGAGGAGCAGGAGTAACTGTGCCTGTGCCCATCATGCTTTAAGGGAGGAGGAGGCAGCTGCAGGTCCCTGATTTCAGGGCAGGAGCTGGAGGTGAGTAGAGTGCTGCCTAGCCAACCAAGAATACGTCCCATCCCCTAGTTAGGACCAAGCTTTGAAACAAGCAATTTATTTTGGTTCCAGGTCTCTAGCAAAATCTGTGGGGTTTTTATTTTCCCTCAGTTGATGACTTTGTGGCTACTCCCAGATACTGGGGCCTCTGTGGCCTTAGATGTGGCTCAGTGGAGGTAGACCCAGCAGGGCCAGGCCAGTGTGGAGCACTTCACGCACAGCTTGTAGAAGCTGCAGACGGGCAAACATTTGACCAAACAGGTGTGGTTGAGGCTCCTGGAGAAGAAAAGTATCCTGCTGGTCTCATCCCTTTGCTTCCCCCCGCACCCCACCCCCTTCCTTCTGCTGTGTGCTTGCTTACCCCTAGGATGTGTACACGGTTATAGTATGAGCTGAAATCCATGCTGAGCTGCACCAAGAACTTGCACACCTAGAGAGAGAAACTGAGTTACTGGCCTGTCTCTTTGTTGTTGTGCTCCAGACCATAATAAAGACTAGAACATGCAGTGTTTGTTCTGGTTTTCTCTGCCTCACCATCTCTGTGCGTGTAGTAACGTGGCGCCCTGGGGCTGTGCAGGCCAGGGCTGCTGTCTGGTTCAGCAGGTCTGGGAAGGGGAGGACACTGTTGAAGAGCAGCAACCACTCACCCTGTGGGGAGAAGGGTGCTGGGAGGGAAGAGTTCACGTCTCCTGCATGTACTAGCTGCCCGCGAGGGGCACTTACCTCGTCATGCAGCAGTGAGAAGTCCAGGCTGCTCACGGGTGGAAAAGAAGGGTAGAGACCTTGTTCCTTGCTGTGCTTGTAACTCTCAAAGAGTGTGGCGAGACGAGCACAGTTATACATGACAAAGGTGCCGCTCTTAGTGCCCTTTGTGGAAATGCTGCTGTCAGCCAGGGCCAGGAGGAGCTAGGGAAGGGAGGCATAGCTGCAGGAAGGGAGGACAGCCACCATGCACCAGCCACCTGCCCTGGTCCTGTGGGGCGCCTTGGCTCACCTGACTCTGTGGGGCAGTGCTGAGCATCTCAAATTTGATGGTTGCCACAGAGAGAACCCTGAAGATTTCTGTCCATGCTGGGTCTGAGGGAGTATAGGTAGGTCGGTCATTCTTTGGGCAGGGGCGCAAATGACCTGCCCCCACCCAAATTAGAGCCAGGTCTCCCAGGCACACCTTGCGCTATGTCCATGCCATGCTTCAGTGCTGAGGCTTTACACACCTGGGCGTGTCGGAGCCTGCATTTTGGAAAAGAATGAGAGAAGGGGGGCCTCCCTGGTGGCGCAAGGGGTTGTTTCAGCACTATGAAGCTATCACCAGGCACTGCAGCCAGAGAGCTACCCACATGGCGTAGCAGACCTCGCCTCACCTGCTGTTCCCCTCAGCAGTGCATTTCAATCAGTCCGCCTGTTCTGTCCCCACCCCCACCCCCGCCACACACACACACACCTCTGGCCTACATCCCAAATCTTGTGAGCATAAATAAATAATTTTTTTTTTTTTAAAAGAGAAGGGACAGGGGTCAGGGCCCCCCACCCCCACCTCAGCTACCCAGGCTTGGTGGCCTGCCTTCCAGCTCACTTACTCATAGTACTCAGGGGCAGTCAGGGTACCAGGTGCATGAGGTACTTTCACTGGACCACAGACCACGTGCTTCTGTCAGGAAGATAGCAGTGGCTCAGCCAGGTAGTGATAGTCTCCACAATAAACCCCCCACCACAAGGGCCTCCCTTGTGGTGCATGGGTTAAGTCTCAGCACTATCAAGCTTATTGCCAATCACTGCTGCACGAGTTCAATCCCTCACCAGGGAGCTACCCACATGGCACAGCAGACCTGTCTCGCCAGCTGCTCCCCTCAGCAGTGTATTTCAGTAGATCCGCCTATTCTGCTCCCCACTCTGTCTCTGGTGACTCCTCTCACCCCTGCCCTCCACCTCTGGCCTGTACCCCAGTTCTTGTATGCATAAATAAATCTCAAAAAAAAAAAAAACAAACATGGGCCTCCCCAGTGGCGCAGCGGTTGAGCGCTGGGTTGTGAAGCTGCCCGCAGCCTCTGCAGCGCCAGTTCGATCCCCGGCTACTCCCCGGCCACCGGAGGAGGGTCCCGCATGGCGCGCAGACCTCTCCTGCCGCCCGCTGCTCCCCTCAGCAGTGTGCTTCGGTCGTTCTGCCTGCTCTGCTCCCCGCTCTGGCTCTGGTGAATTCTCTCACCCTCCCACGCTTCTGACTGTACCCAGTGCTTGTATAAAAAAAAAAAAAAAATCTAATAAATAAATCTTTAAAAAAAAAAAGAAGAAAAAAAACCCCAAACCTCTACCCACCTTAAGGAACCTAAGTCAGGTGCTTGAACTTTATCATCAGGTTTAGGGCCTCCCTCCTAATTTCAGTCCCTCATCCCTCAGAACATGTCCAGCCTGTTCAACCTCTTCCATGTCCTCTGGGTTGTGCCTTCAGAGCCTGCCCTCTCCTAGGCCTCTGTACCTGCTGCATGTGTCCATTCACCAAACCTAACATTTCACCCATGGTCAAGTGTCACCTAGACTGGCTGCTAAGATCCCTTGGATGGGTTTTCAAGGGCACTCTGAAGTTCCACTGGGGACTCCGCCATCTCTAACCGACCTGTATGAGAGGAGCCTGGTCATCTAGCTTCCACCAAAGCAAGTCCAACTTTTGTTGCTGGAACTCCTCCTCACAGTTCACCACATGAACAACCATGCAGCTGTCTGTACCAGCATCTGGGGCTGCAGCCTATGGGGAATGAGGACAGTCACTGCAGGGAAACTTTTACAGAGGCCTAAGGGATGAGGAGTCAGTCACTAACCAGGCCTTGGGAGGTGTCCTCATGCCAGTGCTGCACAGCCTCCTGCAGTTCAGCCAGCACAGAGAGCAGATCCTCAGTTACTGCAGAGAATGTAGGGCCCTGAGGCTAGGTGAGCGCCCAGACGCCCCACCTTCTTTCAGGCCCTGCTAAGCAAGAGGTCTTACCCAGACAATTCGTCAGGCTGGGGTCATAGCCAACTGTGCGTCCTCGTTCTTCTACCAGTTCTTTCAGACACACACTGCCCAGGGCACCTGGGGGCAAGGTTCCTCTGTCGCGGGCAGGGCTAAGCTCTGCAAGTGCTCGGGTCCTCAGGGCTTCAGAAGCAAACCTCTTCGAGGTAGTGGGCCAGTCCACCCGCAGTTGCTGCAGGAAGGTCACCATGCAAGGGTCCCGCACAGCGGGCACAAGGCGCACACACACCCTGCGAAGCGAAAGCAGCCACCTCAGCCTGGGCCAGCCCACCCTACCCTCTCTAGCCCCCAGGCCAATTTTAAAGGGCCGCGGGTTCTCGGCCTGCAACTGCCCCGCGTCCCTGCTCACCCGTGAGCGTTCAGCGCTCGCGCCAGGTGGTCGGCCACAAGCACAGCACGCAGTTGGCTCAGGCTGAGCACGCTGGGAGCGCCGCGCAGCGCCGGGCAGTGCAGGACGACGCGCGAGCACTGAGCGGCGGGCGCGGCGGGCGCGGCGTAGGCGGTTACGGCGCCGAGGACGCGCTCGAAAACAGCGGGCCGCTGCAGCTGGAGCGCCAGGCCCGCGGGGGTCGGCGCGCAACGCAGCACCGGGGCCACGCCGGGGCCCTGCAGGGCGGCCACCGCTCGGACCACGCGCTCGGGCACCTGTGGGTGGACAAGGGGGTGAACGGGATCTCAGTGACCCCCGCCCACGTCTCCCCGGCTCCCGCCTACCTGTCCGTCCCCGAAGCGCGCCTGGAGCGCGCGCCGCGGCGCTAGGAAGTCTCGAGCGCGCAGGTGGCGGGCGCGAGTCTCCTTGTACCACACTGGGCCGCCAGGCCCGAGAGCCGCATTCAGGGCCCCCAGCGTCTCCTCAACCCCAAGGCGCCTCGTCGCCATGGCGACCGGAAGGAGAGAGCGGAACCGGAAGCAATGTCGGGAGACCGAATTTCCGGGAGGCCGGAAGAGCGGGGCGGGGACTTGGCGGCGTTCCCTGAGTGGACAGGTGCGCCAGAGCCCCGCTTGCAGCAGTCAACCTATGACCCCCGCCCCGCCCTCCCCCCGCAGGGCCCTCCCCGCGCAGGGCCCTCCAGCTCTGCTCCGCCAGGAGTCCCATTCCCGGGGCTACTGTTCTTTCCGAGCCATCCGCTTCAACAAACAGGGAAAGCGTCCTCGCGATCACCTGATCGTGGGGCTCAGAGGGGGCCCTCTCTTCCTCGAAGTCTTATATAGCTTGTGATGTTTCATTTCCCGCATTTTACACGTGATAAAGACACCAAAAATTCTGAGTGAATTGTTACTGAAATAGAGCGGCTAACTTTAAGGCCACTTTCACAACCTACTAAAAAATTTTAAAAGTCGTGTCCTGGGCCTCCCTGGTGGTGCAAGGGGTTAAGCACCGCACTGCGAAGCAATCTGCAGCCTCTGCAGCACGAGTTCAATCCCCGCCGGCCAGGGAGCTACCCACATGGCGCAGCAGACCTCGCCTGACTCTCCCGCTGCTCCCCTCAGAAGTATATTTTGGTCAGTCTATGTGTTCTGTTCCCCACTCTGTCTCTGGTGGATCCTCTCACCCTCCCCCACCTCTGGCCTGTACCCCAGCTCTTGTATGCATAAATAAATCTTAAAAAAAAAAATAAAGAGTGTCCTGGGTCTTTAGGTTATTTGTAAGCATTTCCTCCTTTGAGGTATGGGCCATCTTTATTCCCGATTAGTGCCCACTCTGATGTAACTGCTGCTTTTCTTCTCTTGGGGAATTAGAACATGAGAGTTTCCAGAATTGCCAGCTTTCAATGCTTCTCCTTTAACCCGGTGTACTTTAACAGGGATCCTCCCGCTTCCTGGTCTAGGCAAGGAGCCATTATGGGCCAACTAAACAATGTGACTATGGAAAGCCCCAGCTAAAGGACAGCTCTTGGTCGGAATATCTCACTCCTCTACTAGCGCTTGCAGAAAGCACTTCTGACCCATGAAGACTCCCAACTGCTTTCACTTTAGTGTCATTCAAATCCCCTTTTTCTTTCTTTTAATGGAGATTAAATTTGAGGTATCAGAGCACAAACCCAGCATCTCTGCCCTGGAGCAGTGAGTACTCAGCAGCTCAGAAAGAGAGGGGTGAATCCTAGGGACAGGAAAATCTTGGCAAGACCCCTTTCTGAATTAGGACTGCAAGGCCCTACTGGGAGGCTCCGAAAGAGCACTGGGCGGACACGACATTCCCGATGGCTTCTTGGGTGCCCACTCAACGGGAGTGATCGTGTCATTCCAAAGCGCTTTCCATATCGCAGGCTTAACACCCGGGAAAAGCTGTTAATAGGGTCAGAAGCCCGAGGCCGACCTGGGGACTTCAGCTACTTTCGGTACCAGAAGACGGTTGGGGTGGTTTTTCCCCAGGAAGTGAAGGGCTATCTTTAGCGAGCTGCAGGCTGGGGCGGCCCTATGGGACTCACCGCCACTGCAGCCTTATTCGGAGGCCCGTCAGCCCTCCCTCGCCAATGCTACCCCGGTATTCAGAGATGGCCACCGCCCCGGCTCACCGACGTTCGCACCCGTCACTTCCAGCCTGAGGGCGCACCTGAGAGGGATGGAGACCAGAGCGACCCAATGAAGTATGTCTGGGGGATCAGGACTAGCCCACCCCATCTCGGCCGGGACGCTGCTCAGGCAGGAGAGCAGGGAACGAAATCCAAGCGCAGCTGGAATGCTCTGGAGACAACAGCTGCTTTTGGGATTCCGTTGCCCGCTGTCCAGCCATGGGGGGCGGGGGTACCGGAGGGAGGGTCGCTCGTCCTGGGGCCAGAACAGAAACCCCCACTCCCAGTCCCACGAGGCGGACACAGGATTAGGCGGTGAAACCGAGTCTAGTGGGAACGAGGCGCTCACCTGGGTCCCAAAACAATAGGAGGGGCGGTGGGACCTCCCCTGGGACCGGGTCCCGATCCGGATTAGATCCGCCGGGCAGGATTAGTCCTGTTGGTTGGTCACACGCAGCCAGGGCCACTGAAGCGGTGACGGTGGCGGGGCGGGCTTCGGGATCAGCCAAGAGGGAAGCGCACCCATGGGGTCGGAGAGGAAGTAAACCCGCGCGCCCGCCTCAGGGACACCCTCGCACCCCGGGCCCTTTGTCCGATGACGCTGCCAGCGCCCGGAGCGCTATGGGCCCAATGGGCCCACACGGCGGCGGCCCGACCCCCTGGAATCCACTGCGACCGTCCTCGGCTGTGCCGAGCCTCCCGCCCGCTGGTAGTAGACGCCACAACGGCCCCCCGAGGCCACAAGGTGGGCGCGCGGAGATGCCCGAACCCGGTACGGGCGCCAGCGACTCTCGTGCCAGGAGGCCCTCCGATTCGGCCGGAGACGGGGGGCGGGAAATTCTCCGGACGCAAGCTGATTGAGTGAGGACAGGGCGATGCTCCGGCCGCCGCCTAGTTCAGTGTCTGGTCCGGTTCGGCCCGGTCGGTCCCACCGGAACGGAGCTACAAGTCCCCCACCACGGCGTCCCCTTCCGCTTGCTCTGACTGCGGACTTGGAGCCATTTTAAGGAGCAGCCACCCGGACACGCCCACTCGCGCTCCTAAGAGGCCAATCCACGCGCGGCCACGCCCCGCGCGACGCGCGGAGGCGACGCCAACGGTCGCGCGGGTGACGGTTAGGGAGGGGCGTGATTCGGCGGCGAGCTGGGGAAACTCGACCCACCCGCCCCGCCCCCGGAACCTGACGCCCCAAAGGCTGGGATTAGGGGCTTGGAGACTGGCACCACGCCCTGGCCAGGTGTTCGGGACTGCACCAGGTGCGCGGCTGCCCCGCCCCCGGCCCCGTGAGCCCTGCGTAATGGCTGAGAGTCGGGGGCCCAGGTCGCGGCTGGGGCCCAGGCAGTGCCCTGAGGTCGGCCCGGCCACCAGGTGTCCGGCTCCCCCAGGACGGTCTGCGGGGGCCCAGGGCGGGCCGGGCGGCAGGTGCAGACATCAGAGCCGCGCTGGGGGACGCGCCCTCCTGGGACTTAAAGCTCCGGCCTGCTCCTGCGCCCGCGCCCGCGCCCGGGCTAGCGAGCTGCTCCTTGCCCTCCGGGACGCAGGGGGGCACTGCAGCTGCGCGGCGCTGGGCTCCGCTACAACCCCTTTGACCCTGCGCCGCTCCCGCTGCGCGCTGGTCAGCCATGGCTGCTGCTCTCCGGCTCCGCGGCGTGTTCCGATCGCGACCCACGTTGCGCTGTCGGCCCTCGGAGATGCTATGGTGAGCCCGGAGTCAGGGTCCTTGGCCATCCCGCCTTTTACGGCCGGCGACCTCCGGCCTCATTCCTCTGGCCCTCTAGACCCTGACCACAGCCCTCCGCAGGGTGCCACGGCGTGGGCATCGGCTCACGCCCGCCGATGATGAGCTGTATCAGCGGACGCGCATCTCTATGCTGCAGCGCGAGTCCCCGCACGCCATGTACATCGACAGCTACAACAACTGCGGCTTCACGATCAACGGGAATCGTGTGTTTGGGCCCTGCGCGCTGCTTCCGAACTCAGTGGTGCAGTGGAACGTGAGCCCTCCCTTGCGAGCAAACCGGGGCCCAGAGTCACAGGCCGGCCCTCTTTGATTTCATCCCCGGCATACATTCCCCTGTTGTTGAACAGGTGAGGGGGTTGTGGGCAGAACAGCGTGGGTCGTTTTAACCTGCTTGTTCCCCATACAGGTAGGATCCCACCAGGATATTACCGAAGAGAGCTTCTCCCTCTTCTGGATGCTAGAGCCTGGAATAGGTATCAAAGGAGAGGAGGGATGGCGTGCTCTAAACCCCAGAAATCCACCCCCACCCGACTCGACCTGTCTGTAGATTAGATTAGCCATGCTCATCCTTCCCTAGAAATTGTGGTGGTGGGCACTGGAGACCGGACTGAGCGGCTGCAATCCCAGGTGCTGCAAGCCATGAGGCAGAGGGGCATCGCTTTGGAGGTGCAGGACACGGTAAGTTCACCAGCTCCCAGGGAGGGGAGCCTATACCTAGCCCTACCCAAATTAATGGTAGCTTTCTTTTTGCAGCCCAATGCATGTGCCACTTTCAACTTCCTGTGTCACGAAGGCCGAGTGACAGGAGCTGCTCTCATTCCCCCACTGGGAGGGACTATGCTTACACCTCTGGCCCAAGATTCAGAATGCGCCAACAGGACCTGAGTGTGCCTTTTCAAGGAAGAACGGGGCACATTTTGCAGCGCCCAGGGGTCCCCAACACTTTCACTAGTCCCTTCCCTTTGGCACTATAACATTAGTCTTTCGCAAACTAATACTTGATCCACTTCACCCATTTTGTACTAGGTGTGTTGCTGGCCAGGGGCTGCTCTCTTAATGAACTTTTCGTAGGGGCTGTGAAGAAATCAAAGGGGTCATTTTTTCATCTAGGCTACTTGGGACTCCCATGGCTTCTTTGAAGCCAAGAGGCTGTATGTGCATTTGCTCCAAACTGCAGATCTTTCTACTTTAGCACATGAAGATTTGAGGAGGGACCTCAGAATTTTCTCCACAAAATCCTTTGTGGAGATTCATGCTAGAGAATAAGTATATACGTCTTAATTTGGTCCTGTGTGACCAAGCTTGGGGGTAGCAGGAGGCACTGAGGATTACAGTCTAAAGCCTTGTTCTGTGATTTCAGTGTGAACCTAGACTTGGCGAACCAGAGCTGATCAGAATTGGCTTGTGAGTTCTGGGACTTTTTGAACCTAAAAACCTTAACCTCAGGGCCCGAGGCTTCCCCTGTTATTAAGGGTGTTACATGCATCTGTGATGGTGGCAGCCACAGAGCCTTGCCTTCCCCTTATCCTAAAAAAAAAGTCAAGCATCACATTTTTTTCAAACTTTTATTGAAAAACCAGGGTGTGTGTGTGTGTGTGTGTGCGTGTGCGCGCGCGTGCTGTATCCCTTTTCAGAAAAGCCGTTTCTCATACCTGTAGACAGAAGGACCAGCTATGAGGTGAGGGCAGGAGAAGAGGCATGGCAGACACCACCCAGGGACAGAGGGGTAGAAGAGGGTCGGTTACTTACGAATGGAGGCCGTGGACACCACCTTCTACCTGAGCTGAGGATGTTCTCTTCTCAAACTTGAGTTCCCCAGAATACATCATGGCTCTGAAGAGAGGCAGATGTCAGATGTAGCTAACTGACCCTGGACCAAGCTGGCTCCTCATGTCCCAGCGCCCCAACCTTACCGGACTTGTGTCAAACTCTTGGCACCAATGTCCTGGCATGAGTGCTGGATGCCGGCAATCAGGTAGGGAACAAATTTGTGGATGGACCCTTTGTCTTGCACAGCCCCAGACACCCCCTGAGCTACTTTGATTTTGTCAGCTTCACTGCAGGGAGAGGCAAAAAACAAAAAAAGAGGTAAGATCAAAACACAGATGGTCAGGGCAAGGATAGATTGACATAATTGACCTTGCTGTCCCACCTGAAATATCGGTTCTGGCTGCTGAGATGTTTGTCCATGGCATCGAGAGACCCCATTCCACGGTATTTCTTTAGGCGAATCCCATCAGAGAAGAAATATTCTCCAGGGGCCTCAGTGGTAGCAGCCAGGAGGGAGCCCATCATGACTATGAACAGACAGAATGCTGGGGGCAGAACCTGTGTGGCAATGGAGGAGTCCCCCCAGTCTCTTAGGGTACTGGACCTCACCTGTGGAGGCCCCAAGGGCCAAAGCTTTGGCAATGTGGCCCACGTTTTGGATTCCTCCGTCAGCGATGACAGGAACACCAAAACGCCGTGCATATTCTGACACCTTATATACTGCTGTTGCTTGGGGCCGTCCACAGGCCAGCACTGTTGAAAGATGAACAGATGGATGGGTGGAGTCAGTGTGGATAGACAAGGGGCCCTGCGGCTACAACTCAGCACCTAGGAGCTCTCAGCTACAACTGCACCAGAACTGCAGCCTGGCTGAGGGTGGGTCATGTTTGGATGGCTGCTGGCCCACCTGCCTTGAACAAGACAAACAGCTGTGATGGCCTCCACTCGCCCTTGCGTGTGCACGTGCATGTATGCATGGCCCAGAGCAGCCTCAGGCACATGCAGTCAGCAGCCGGGAAAGCCCCGCCCAGCTGCTAGGTGGCACCGTGCAGTTAGTACCCAGAGACCCACCCTTTTTCTCCCTGTTTGGTGGGCAGCTCAGACAAGATCAGGACAGTGTTCTGTGGAAGTGGGGTTCACAGATGGTTCTGGAGCTGTGCCTACACTGCAGGAGATATGGGCAGAGCAGGGCCTACCTGGAGGAGGTGCCACCCTATAAGCACCCCAGGAAAAGTAGGGAGCTGTGTTCTTGAGCAGCCCCCAAAACCATGGTCTGTCATTGTTTGCCTGCCCACCCATCAGCACCACAAACCCCGGGAGCTACAGCTACAGTCAACCAAGCCAGCCGGGCAGTGGGCAGCTGGGCCGGGCCGCTGGGCCGGGCCGAACTTACTATAGCAGCCCGTGACAGTAGAAGGGCATTTGGGGCTGTGGGACTTTATGTCTGGAGGGATCTTGGGAGCCGCTAAATAAAAAAACAGACCAGAGTTTAGAGAGGGCGCAGAGCAGGAGCAAGGAGGCCAGGCTAGGCAAGGGGAGTGGCAGGTGAGGAATGACGAGAGCTCGTCTTGCTTCTGGGCAAGTCACCCATCCAGAGGGGCCCATTTGGCCCAGGGGCTGCCCCTTTGGAAGACTTAATATAGTCCCCATAAGAGCTCTTGGCTCTAGGGCACGTAGGGCTCAAAGCCCTGACAAAGGATCTTACCTTCCTGGGTGATACAGATGGAACCACTGCCCATGCCCACACGCAAAGCATCTACACCAGCATCAATGAGGTTCTTGGCCTGAGCAGCTGTGACCACTGCAGTGAGAAGAGGGAAATGATCACATGAAGGTCTAGGTGGGGACCTAGCTTCCTCACACTTTCCCCACATCCTTCAGAGCCCAGTCTTGTCTCACCATTTCCTCCGATAACTTGGAGACTGGGGTATTTCTCTTTGATGTACTTGATCATGTTGATCTGAAAAATGGAGTTTCCCTGGGAAGAGTCCTAGGCAGGGAAGACGTTCCAATGAGACTGGTATGGCAATTACACCCACCATCCCACCCTGCCTGTGTGTCAACTCACCAAAACCACTACGTCTACACCAGCCTGCGCTAATAAGTCTAGTCGATACTTGTCATCCTCATGAGTGCCAATAGCTGCTCCACATAGCAGCTGCTTTTTGGCATCTTTAGAGGCCAGTGGGTAATCACGGTTCTTCTTCAGGTCTGTCCGGGCAATGATGGCCACCAGCTCATCGTCTTCATTTACAATGGGCAACTTTCCTGGGGGCAGGACATGAATCAGGACCCTGGTCTTTCTTGGTTGCTTGACAATTCCTACCTCTATAACTTACCTTTTTTGCTGCGCTGCAGAATTTCATTTGCTTCCTTCAATGTGATGCCTGCAGGGGCTACCACCAAGTCTTCTCTCTTTGTCATGATCTAAGAAGGAGAGGAGCTGTGAGGCAGGGCCAATCAGAGAGCAGACCTCTCAACAGACTGCCTTAACTCAAGGTGAGTTTCCAAGGACCACCATATTCATGTAACCACATCCAAACCACCCTCCTCAAGGGAAGCCACAAGTTTCTGTAGCAATCTAGTGGGAAGAGAGTTGAGTAGAAAGGACAACATGGTACGCATTACACTGCGGAGAAAAAGAGGGCCATGCTGGAGCTGCGACTAGACATTAAAAGAGGATGCTGACATTGGTCCTTTATATTTCCCACTAGGGGCTGGGATTTGCGGCAGCAAAAAACAGTATGCACTAGCAAATATTGGCACAAAGTGTTTGATAAGGAAAGGATGTGGAAATTTCATGGAGCGGTTAGAAAGCTGGAAGGGTATTCATCTTTGCTAGAAAGCAGAGGCCCTCAGAGATGTCATTCAGCCAACAAAAACCTTCCTGTCATTAACCTGGACTACCAGAGTTTGGTTTTGCTCTGCTAGTAACACCCACCTCTTCCAAACAACGATCGTGCTCCTCCTCCTTGAGGAAATCAATATCCCTTGAGGAGATGATGCCCACCAGACGGCTCCCCATCCGGCCTGTGTCAGTGATGGGTATACCACAGAAGCCATGTCGGGCCTTAGCTTCAAACACATCCCGCACTCGATCCCTGGGGCTGAGGACCACAGGGTCCGTGATGAATCCCTGTTCATATTTCTGGAAATGATAGAAAGAAAGGGTGTTTCTGAACCACTTTCATCAGGCTCTTGGCATGAAGTCCAAGTCTGTGCCAACTTCCCCTTCAGCACTGCCACAAGACCAATGCACACCCAACACTTCAAACCCTAGGGTTAGGAGACATGGGTGGCTGTCAGCACTGTCCACCTGATGTTCTTCTATTGCCTTATGACATAGGGTATTGGATCTTATCAGGAATTCACAGTAGGAAGAAATGATCCTAAATTAGGAGCAGAAAAATTCCTTGCTCCCGTCCCACTCAATGTAATTCCCAGGAACTCTTGAACACAATCCATGCCCGTCTGACCTTCACTTTCCGAACTTCATTGGCCTGGAATTCAGGTGTACAGTTATGGTGAATGAAGCCAATACCACCAGTAAGCTGCAAGATAAATGGACAGAAAAGAGTTGACAAAGAATAAGAGAAGCATGATTGTATGCCTTTGAAAAGAGAGCTGGGCCTCTGCCCTCATACCCTGAGGAGCTCACCGCCATTGCTATGGCCATCCCAGCCTCTGTGACTGTGTCCATGGGTGAAGAAACCAGTGGAGTCTTCAGAGTGATCTTTTTGGTCAGAGCAGAAGTCAGGTCCTGGAAAATAAAGCCAACTAATGTGGGAAAGAATTATATATATTGCAGGGTGATGTCAGTTATCCCACAAAACAGGCGGCGCCCTGTATTACTTGCATGCCAGCAAGACCATTCCACAGAATCCACCCCCAAGCCCAATCTGGTGAGGTAGCCCAGAGACCAGGGGACAGCAGCATTCTTGGCCATACTCACCACCTGGTCTGCAGTGAAGTCGATGTACCCAGGGAGAATGAGAAAGTCACTATGGGGGAGGGGAGCGAATTGAGAGTAAGGCTCAGGCTTAGCGCAGCCTGAGAGTCCATCCTCAAAAATCACCTCATAAGGCATTTGGGCAGAGTGGCACTAGCCCATGTGTCACAGGCAGGGCAAAGGACAAAGTCGTGACGGTGGCAGGGGACCGTTTCTGCCACCTAGCTGTCATCGGCACCCTTGGCACCGACAACTCCATGTGCACAGAGAATGAAGTTTCAAGCCTGAAATCCCAAGCACTAAGATGCCTCCTCCATCCCACCCTTCAGTTCTGTAAAACGAACCGCAGAGATGTGCGGGGAATTTGCGGTAACTCTAGCCACGCCCGCACCCGTGCAGGCTCAATGGGGGTCCCATCCGCCCTGCCAGCCCATCGCACCGCCCCTCCTCGCCCAGGTGAGCCCGTTAGGCCCGCACTTGTAGGTGAGGCCGTCCCCGCAGTTGAACAGCTGCTGTGCGGTGAGCCCGTCGTCTGGCACGTAGGACGTGCCCCCGCTAATCAGGTAGTCGGCCATGGCCGGAACCGGGAAGAGCCGCGTGTCTCCGAGGACCGCGCCGCAGAGGCCTCTGCCGCCTGGGCCGCGCCAATATAAACCCGCGGATTAGCGTCACTGCGTCCTACGCATCGCTGACGTCAGGACGCAGCGCGCATGGGCGGTGCCTCCACCCCCGGGGCGGGGCTGCCTAGAGGGGAAGCGCATGCGCACAACACACCCTAACCATTTCACCGGGGAATTGGTTTCCGGTTGCTGCCCCTTCTGCACCTTAGCCCGTTTCAATTAATCTAAGTGATTGTGTTTCCACTGTCCCGCCAGACTCCTCCCAAATAAAGAGGCGTTGTTCACTAGCATGTTGAAAAGACGTGCTTGTCATTCTTAATAAACAACTAGATTAAGAATACATAAGAGAAACAGAGTGGTATCTTTATATGATACACAAGTGTATGTTACAAGAATTCCATCAGGCACAGGAGCCTCAGGTTTAAGGCCTCAATGTTAGGCCGGAAAAAAAAAAAAAAGGCATGGTAAAGTTTTTACTTTAACATCTAAAATGTCACTTGTCATAAAGGAGGGTGTAATAGAAATTGTCTTTAATAAATCATAATTAAAGTTCCCCTCATTTTCCTTCCATTAAGATGCTAAGTTTCTGTCTCAGCATGAAGAAAGAAAAGACCGCGGCTCCCCTGTAGTCAGCGAAGTCTGCCAGTGAGAGTGGAAGCCAGCTGGGGAAGATTCCATGGAGGGGCCATCCATCATTAATTCCACCTTTCTGAAGGAAGGGAAGGGGCCACATGTCTCCTAACAGTCCAAGCCCTTTCCTCAGATTCAAGACAAAAAAACAAAAAAGTCTGCCAGCAACTTTCTAGGACATCTGGCTCTCAGGAAATCCAGAGCCCCCATGGGCTGAGGAGTCTACCGCAGCAGGTTTATGAAGATGCATGGGGCAAGTTTCCTTTTACATTTTAAACAGAAGCAGCCTGAAAGGCTTCGTAACTACACCAATAAAAAAGAAAAGAAAAAATGGAGGCCTCTTCTTTAGTGTGAAAATAAGTCCTTTTTTCCTGGATGGTCTCCTTTGCACCATGGCTGAGGGATTTCAGTGCATGGTGTTTGCACTGGCCACAGCAATGGCCTCCTGAATTTCTCGTATCACCAGGATCCGAGTGAGCATCTGTCCCATCTGCTCTCTGCTGATAGGCTGAACTGAGTACCAGATTGGGCTGTTGGGGGCCACCACCGGCTCAGGCGTCAGGTAAAAGGTGTCATTCCGGCCTTTCACACTCTGGGGGCTGAAGAATACATTGGTAAAAGCAGGGTAAAACTACCACAATCTCAACTCTCCCACCCTCAATTTTCCAGAGATATGCTGCCTACAAACACTGCAAAGGCAGTAACTCTTGAAGGTGTGGTGGCACTGCTACTTAATTCCAAGCAGTCAACACATTATTACCTTTAAGACTTCCTTTGGGGTCACTGCAAATGCCAGCAATAAGCAGCCTTCCTTCTGCTTCTCCTTCATATACTGCCACCTTCAAGCTAATCATCTGCCCAGGGTTCACCTGCCTTGATTCCAGACAAATCCCACCTGGAACCAACCACTGCCCAGAAGTCACTGGCAGACTTCTGCGTCTGTTCACTTGGTTTCTTCTACCCAATGCAATGGTAAGTTTTTAAATTCTACCAGAGGGACTCCATCTGCTCTCCCATAGGAAGTTCAGCTATAATGCTGGGGGGTCCTTACCTGCACTAACCTTGACGGGGTGCCTTCAATGTTATGCTGTACCTCTCAAGTACAGAGCACATGCCATCTTATGTTACTCATTCATCCAGTCAAGATGTGTCCAAGGACTACTGTGTGCTAGGTGTGTACTAGGTGTGAATGGTACACAAATGAGTACGACTCAACGACCCCTACCTCACAAAGCTTACAGAAAAGAGGGAGACAGACAGCAACTGAACAGTTACACAAATACACACAAAATGAAAAAATGTGTTAAGTGCTACAGAGGAAAAACCCAAGGGAACAGGAAGAGAATCTGGAATCTGATAAAGTCGTGTTTGAGAAGAGGGAAGGACAGGAGCTAAGCAGTCAAATGATGCATGCGTGGGGATGGTGTGGGGGGGGGGGGGCGCGGAAACTTTCCCTACAGGGAGACACTGTGCCAACACCTTGAGGAAGGAAAAGCATGATGCCTGAGTGGAGAGAGGCCAGTGTGGCTAGAGAACCAAGAGCTACATGAATATGAGGTTAGTAAGAGGGAGTACATGAAGGCCTTATTTGCAACATTATGATTACTGTCCCTTCTCTGCAAAGTAAAGGAAAACCAATGATGGTTACCATCTAGCTAACATGGCATGACCTATAACATACAGAACTTACTCTGGAATTGTCATGAAGATGACATGCAAACTGCTGGGACCAGAGAGAATAAAAGCTAGGGTAAAGATTCCTCCCTAGGTTGATGGTGCTAGTGACAAAAGGTCAAGGCCAAGAAAATGTTGGGCTATGAATGTGTGATAGAGGCAGGCTTTCTACATATTCCTCTCTACCTTCATGTGACCCTTAGGGAACCCTTTTATACTCACGGTGCAAGGGACATATCATGCTTGGGGAAAAACAGTAAGACTGCTTCTGTATTTAGCTTTTTTGAAGTGTTTTTACTCGGACTGGACCTAGAGAACACACATACACATAACAAGAATCCTCACCATTTAAAGAGGTAGAAATCATACAGCTTGATGGGACATCTCAGTGGATTTTCTGGATTTTCCGTCTGTTCTGCATACATGTCATCTGTAACTATAAAACACACACACAGACCACAGACATGGCATCAAACTGCCTTTTCAGGCCCACAATAGGAACCTTGGAATACCAGCTATCCTACTCCAACCAGGAAATATTGGGAAGCAAAAGAGTGTGAGGCATGGGCAGTGACGATGAAGGGAAAAGGAAGCTATCTTTTCTGAGGCATTTCTGTGTCTAGCAGTTTGAAACTTTTGGTTGGAGAGAAAGGAACAGAGAATTCCTATGTAACAAATCCCAACCTTCACAATCATCACTACTTCCCCATGCCACCCTAGAACACAAAGGTAAGTAGCATCTGTTTCTGCAGCCCCTGTTACTTCCCCTACCTTTCTGTCCAGTCTGATGTATCCCAAGTGCCTTCAGGTACCGAATACTCGTGCTTTTATCCTTAGGATTAGAGGGGTTCTTCTTTGTCTGACGCAATACCTTGGAGAAGGCCAATTTCATGTGCTGGTCCACGGTCTTCAAAAGGAAGTACCTGCACCACAAGCAAAAGCAAAGCAAAGGGAAGGGTGCCAGGAGGAGACCATGACTTCCCCTCTGCATTCAGTGCTTTGGAGGAGCTGCTACCCACATTCCCAGCATCTGGGCAGGTCTACCCCAAACACACTGTCTAGTGTAAGAACCACATCAAGATGGTGGGGGTCTGGCAAAGATGTCTGCCTCATTGGTCACCACACAAAACACAAATGGGGCCAAAGGCTTTCAGTAGCCCAAAGGTTCTTAAGTATGTGTCAATGAAATTCAGAAGTTCACCTGGAGACTCTCCACCCTCTTCACTGGGCAGATGCCAGCAATGGCTAAGCATGAAGCCTCTAGAACACTTACTTGGTGTTAAAGAACATGAGGGTGGTCAGCAGGGTGGAAGGGGAGTGAGCCCCGAGCTGCTTGCACTCCCACAGCATCTCCTCAGTCACATGGCTGGGCAGGACATAGCCTAGGAGGAATAGAGTACTGCTACAACAAGAGGATGACAGGAAGTCCCTCCAAGGTTCAGGATGAGAGGTATGAGGCACAAGGATCATATAGGAATACAAATTTAACGAGAGAAGTCTCCTTAGGGAATGGCAGAATCCTTTGGCAAGCTTGCTTAAAACACAAATAGCTGGGTCCCAACCCAAGTTTATGGGGTAGGACCTGACAATATGCACATATGAACTTCTAATAAATTCCTAAGACCACATTTTGATAACCACTGCCATACATAAAAGTTCTTACTCTTACCTGATGTTACTACTTCTAATCCCAGGTTAACATGGGGCAAAAGGAAAGCCTGCAGAAGAATGACACACTTTATACTATAAATCAAATTCTACACGTTTGGAAAGTGGGTTCAGAGCTTTCATAATACTTTCAAAGATGTGTAGGGCCCAAAGAACTGGTACTCACGCCCATCTGCCCTTGCTAATAAACATTCTCTCATGTCTTCTATTTCTAGAAGGCAAGCCCATTCTTACTCCCTCTGAATCAAGGGCAGACTAAAATAAAGAACTATTACAGGTTTCTCCCTGAAAGCAGTTTTTACTATATATGAACCTGGTTTATAAGTGAACTGCGAACTGGGCTGAGGTAAAAAAAGGCCAGTGATTTGATCAAGAATCCTGAGCAGCCACATCTACTACACCAAAGACAACACTGGGAATAATCATCAAGCTCGCTTCATCTTCTCATTCAACAGTAAATGTGCAAGTGTTTCAGCATTCTCCAGGAAGGCAATGAGTGCCACTTCCTAAAAGCAGGGGATGAAACATTCCATCCAGTACATTTCTTTTTTTTTTATAGAGGCATGTTTTATTTATTTATTTATTTATTTATTCATTCATTCATTCATTCATTCATTCAGTTAGTTTATACAAGCACTGGGTACAGTCAGAAGCGCGGGAGGGTGACAGAATTCACCAGAGCCAGAGCGGGGAGCAGAGCAGGCAGAAGGACCGAGGTACACTGCTGAGGGGAGCAGCGGGCGGCAGGAGAGGTCTGCGTGCCATGTGGGACCCTCCTCCGGTGGCCAGGGAGCAGCCGGGGATCGAACCAGTGCCGCAGAGGCCACGGGCAGCTTCGCAACCCAGCGCTCAACCGCTGCGCCACCGGGGAGGCCCCCATCCAATACATTTCTCATCTCTCTTCTTGCCAAAGATGGTCCTCGGGCTCCATCAGTGTACTTTCATCTCTTTAGGACAGTTCTTCTTTCTACCTTTTTTTTTTTTTTTTTTGGTGGGACCCTCGCAGGCGGCCGGGGAATGAACCAGCGCTGCAGAGGCTGTGGGCAGCCTTGCAGC